AATTAAGTGAGTCAGGTGATTTTGAAAAACGGGCAGTGAAGGTTTATATGACTTTTGTTTTCTTTTTCACTACCTGTAGCTGACAGAAGAATGATCAGGAGGGATGTAGTGTTCCTTTTGGATGGTTCAGATGGCACTAGGGACTCTTTCCCTGCAATGCGTGACTTTGTGCAAAGAATGGTGGACAGGTTGAACGTGTCAGACGGGAGAGACCGTGTGTCGGTAGTCCAGTTCAGCAGAGATCCAGAGGCCCATTTCTATCTTAACACGTACACAACAAAGGAGAGCGTTCTCAACACTGTTAGAGGTCTACGGCACAGAGGGGGGCGACCCCTCAATACAGGAGCAGCTCTCCAGTATGTGAGGGACAACGTCTTCACTGCCTCTTCCGGAAGCAGACGTCAAGAGGGTGTGCCTCAGTTACTGATTTTGTTGAGTGGCGGAAGGTCGTTTGATAACGTTGACATGCCAGCCTCTTCCCTGAAGGAGCTTGGAGTCTTGACCTTTGCTGTAGGATCACGGGGCTCCGATAGTAGAGAATTGCAGAAGATCTCACATGACCCTAGTTCTGCACTCTCAGTGACAGACTTTGCTAATCTCCCCAGTGTCCAAGAGCAGCTTTTCTCCAGAATTAAAACCGTACACGTAGAGACCACAACTGTCTCTCCAACACTGATAGGTAAGACAAAGGGAGTATTAATCCATTTGAGTCAGTCTTTTACGGGCCTGATTTTCCTCAAAGCTGTTCCAAATTCTTCCTGGTATGTAGAGAAGTCGAGATATGAAAAAGTATGTAGCATGCAAATTGTGGTGACGTAACGAAACACTACTCTTTTTATGACCAGTGCAAAGAGGAAAATAGTATTGTGAGCTTGTTTACAGTGCTCTGCCTTTTCAATCTCAATTTCTGTAGTTGAGCCTGAAGCACAAAGGAGAGATGTTGTTTTCCTGCTGGATGGGTCAGATGGCACTCGCAGTGGGTTCCCTGCGATGAAGGACTTTGTGCTAAGAGTGATGGAGAAGTTGAATGTGGCTGAGAACAAAGACCGTGTTTCTGTAGTCCAGTTCAGCAGAGATCCTGAGACACATTTCTATCTAAACACGTACACAAGAAAGGATGACATAGTTGACACGGTTAGTGTTCTGAGGCACAAAGGAGGAAGACCCCTGAACACCGGGGCGGCTCTCCAGTACGTCAGAGACAATGTCTTCACTGCCTCCTCCGGCAGCAGACGACTAGAGGGTGTGCCACAAATACTGATCCTTCTGAGTGGCGGAAGGTCATTTGACAATGTTGATGTCCCGGCCTCTGCTCTGAAGGATCTGGGGGTCTTGATATTCACAATAGGATCACGAGGCTCTGACAGCAGAGAACTGCAGAGGATTTCACATGACCCTAAATACGCTCTGTCTGTGTCCGATTTCACTGAGCTCCCAAATGTCCAGGACCAGCTCGTCAACACTGTAGAGGCTGTTGCCGTTCCCATCACTCCAGCATCACCAACTCCCATCGGTATGACTGTGTGAAAGAATTATATAATAAAACGATTAACATAACTGTATTTTTAGGGATTTTTTTTTAATTGAAGCCAGTCTATAAAATAGGCAATGAAAGAAGGGTCTCTGTAGCCTTTAGACCTCAAATTGATGCATCTTAACAAATGGCATTGTTCTCTTTCCAGTTGATTATGACATCACCAGAAAGGATGTTGTTTTCCTGCTGGATGGTTCAGATGGCACTAGGAATGGATTCCCAGCCATGCTTGACTTTGTGCAAAAAGTAGTTGAAAAACTCAACATAGAGGAGAGCAGGGACCGCGTTTCAGTGGTGCAGTACAGTAGAGATCCTGAGGTCCATTTCTATCTAAATACTTACTCGGAAGAGACAGACGTCCTCGACACCATCAAGACGCTAAGGCACAGAGGTGGCAGACCCCTCAACACTGGGTCAGCTCTGCAGTATGTGAGAGACAATGTCTTCACTGCCTCTGCTGGCAGTAGAAGTCAACAGGGTGTCCCTCAGATTCTCATTTTGCTCAGTGGATCAAGGTCAAATGATAATGTCGATACGCCTGCCTCTGCTTTGAAAGAAAGTGGGGTCTTGATTCTTGGTGTTGGCACCAGGAATTCGAGCAGAGAGATTCAGAGAGTTGTCAGTGATCCTTCCTATGCTCAGTCTATTTCTGAGATCTCTGACCTTCCCGCTGTCCAGCAGCAGTTTTTGTCTGCTCTCAGAAGTACAGTTTCATTTGTGACGCCGGTGAAACCTACAGTCATAGGTAAGACAGATTGTCACAGATATTTTCAGGTTGCCCACACAACCTTTGCGGGAAAAGGATAGGTGAATGTGTGCATTCTGAGTTTCAATTAAGTGAGTCAGGTGATTTTGAAAAACGGGCAGTGAAGGTTTATATGACTTTTGTTTTCTTTTTCACTACCTGTAGCTGACAGAAGAATGATCAGGAGGGATGTAGTGTTCCTTTTGGATGGTTCAGATGGCACTAGGGACTCTTTCCCTGCAATGCGTGACTTTGTGCAAAGAATGGTGGACAGGTTGAACGTGTCAGACGGGAGAGACCGTGTGTCGGTAGTCCAGTTCAGCAGAGATCCAGAGGCCCATTTCTATCTTAACACGTACACAACAAAGGAGAGCGTTCTCAACACTGTTAGAGGTCTACGGCACAGAGGGGGGCGACCCCTCAATACAGGAGCAGCTCTCCAGTATGTGAGGGACAACGTCTTCACTGCCTCTTCCGGAAGCAGACGTCAAGAGGGTGTGCCTCAGTTACTGATTTTGTTGAGTGGCGGAAGGTCGTTTGATAACGTTGACATGCCAGCCTCTTCCCTGAAGGAGCTTGGAGTCTTGACCTTTGCTGTAGGATCACGGGGCTCCGATAGTAGAGAATTGCAGAAGATCTCACATGACCCTAGTTCTGCACTCTCAGTGACAGACTTTGCTAATCTCCCCAGTGTCCAAGAGCAGCTTTTCTCCAGAATTAAAACCGTACACGTAGAGACCACAACTGTCTCTCCAACACTGATAGGTAAGACAAAGGGAGTATTAATCCATTTGAGTCAGTCTTTTACGGGCCTGATTTTCCTCAAAGCTGTTCCAAATTCTTCCTGGTATGTAGAGAAGTCGAGATATGAAAAAGTATGTAGCATGCAAATTGTGGTGACGTAACGAAACACTACTCTTTTTATGACCAGTGCAAAGAGGAAAATAGTATTGTGAGCTTGTTTACAGTGCTCTGCCTTTTCAATCTCAATTTCTGTAGTTGAGCCTGAAGCACAAAGGAGAGATGTTGTTTTCCTGCTGGATGGGTCAGATGGCACTCGCAGTGGGTTCCCTGCGATGAAGGACTTTGTGCTAAGAGTGATGGAGAAGTTGAATGTGGCTGAGAACAAAGACCGTGTTTCTGTAGTCCAGTTCAGCAGAGATCCTGAGACACATTTCTATCTAAACACGTACACAAGAAAGGATGACATAGTTGACACGGTTAGTGTTCTGAGGCACAAAGGAGGAAGACCCCTGAACACCGGGGCGGCTCTCCAGTACGTCAGAGACAATGTCTTCACTGCCTCCTCCGGCAGCAGACGACTAGAGGGTGTGCCACAAATACTGATCCTTCTGAGTGGCGGAAGGTCATTTGACAATGTTGATGTCCCGGCCTCTGCTCTGAAGGATCTGGGGGTCTTGATATTCACAATAGGATCACGAGGCTCTGACAGCAGAGAACTGCAGAGGATTTCACATGACCCTAAATACGCTCTGTCTGTGTCCGATTTCACTGAGCTCCCAAATGTCCAGGACCAGCTCGTCAACACTGTAGAGGCTGTTGCCGTTCCCATCACTCCAGCATCACCAACTCCCATCGGTATGACTGTGTGAAAGAATTATATAATAAAACGATTAACATAACTGTATTTTTAGGGATTTTTTTAAATTGAAGCCAGTCTATAAAATAGGCAATGAAAGAAGTGTCTCTGTAGCCTTTAGACCTCAAATTGATGCATCTTAACAAATGGCATTGTTCTCTTTCCAGTTGATTATGACATCACCAGAAAGGATGTTGTTTTCCTGCTGGATGGTTCAGATGGCACTAGGAATGGATTCCCAGCCATGCTTGACTTTGTGCAAAAAGTAGTTGAAAAACTCAACATAGAGGAGAGCAGGGACCGCGTTTCAGTGGTGCAGTACAGTAGAGATCCTGAGGTCCATTTCTATCTAAATACTTACTCGGAAGAGACAGACGTCCTCGACACCATCAAGACGCTAAGGCACAGAGGTGGCAGACCCCTCAACACTGGGTCAGCTCTGCAGTATGTGAGAGACAATGTCTTCACTGCCTCTGCTGGCAGTAGAAGTCAACAGGGTGTCCCTCAGATTCTCATTTTGCTCAGTGGATCAAGGTCAAATGATAATGTCGATACGCCTGCCTCTGCTTTGAAAGAAAGTGGGGTCTTGATTCTTGGTGTTGGCACCAGGAATTCGAGCAGAGAGATTCAGAGAGTTGTCAGTGATCCTTCCTATGCTCAGTCTATTTCTGAGATCTCTGACCTTCCCGCTGTCCAGCAGCAGTTTTTGTCTGCTCTCAGAAGTACAGTTTCATTTGTGACGCCGGTGAAACCTACAGTCATAGGTAAGACAGATTGTCACAGATATTTTCAGGTTGCCCACACAACCTTTGCGGGAAAAGGATAGGTGAATGTGTGCATTCTGAGTTTGAATTAAGTGAGTCAGGTGATTTTGAAAAACGGGCAGTGAAGGTTTATATGACTTTTGTTTTCTTTTTCACTACCTGTAGCTGACAGAAGAATGATCAGGAGGGATGTAGTGTTCCTTTTGGATGGTTCAGATGGCACTAGGGACTCTTTCCCTGCAATGCGTGACTTTGTGCAAAGAATGGTGGACAGGTTGAACGTGTCAGACGGGAGAGACCGTGTGTCGGTAGTCCAGTTCAGCAGAGATCCAGAGGCCCATTTCTATCTTAACACGTACACAACAAAGGAGAGCGTTCTCAACACTGTTAGAGGTCTACGGCACAGAGGGGGGCGACCCCTCAATACAGGAGCAGCTCTCCAGTATGTGAGGGACAACGTCTTCACTGCCTCTTCCGGAAGCAGACGTCAAGAGGGTGTGCCTCAGTTACTGATTTTGTTGAGTGGCGGAAGGTCGTTTGATAACGTTGACATGCCAGCCTCTTCCCTGAAGGAGCTTGGAGTCTTGACCTTTGCTGTAGGATCACGGGGCTCCGATAGTAGAGAATTGCAGAAGATCTCACATGACCCTAGTTCTGCACTCTCAGTGACAGACTTTGCTAATCTCCCCAGTGTCCAAGAGCAGCTTTTCTCCAGAATTAAAACCGTACACGTAGAGACCACAACTGTCTCTCCAACACTGATAGGTAAGACAAAGGGAGTATTAATCCATTTGAGTCAGTCTTTTACGGGCCTGATTTTCCTCAAAGCTGTTCCAAATTCTTCCTGGTATGTAGAGAAGTCGAGATATGAAAAAGTATGTAGCATGCAAATTGTGGTGACGTAACGAAACACTACTCTTTTTATGACCAGTGCAAAGAGGAAAATAGTATTGTGAGCTTGTTTACAGTGCTCTGCCTTTTCAATCTCAATTTCTGTAGTTGAGCCTGAAGCACAAAGGAGAGATGTTGTTTTCCTGCTGGATGGGTCAGATGGCACTCGCAGTGGGTTCCCTGCGATGAAGGACTTTGTGCTAAGAGTGATGGAGAAGTTGAATGTGGCTGAGAACAAAGACCGTGTTTCTGTAGTCCAGTTCAGCAGAGATCCTGAGACACATTTCTATCTAAACACGTACACAAGAAAGGATGACATAGTTGACACGGTTAGTGTTCTGAGGCACAAAGGAGGAAGACCCCTGAACACCGGGGCGGCTCTCCAGTACGTCAGAGACAATGTCTTCACTGCCTCCTCCGGCAGCAGACGACTAGAGGGTGTGCCACAAATACTGATCCTTCTGAGTGGCGGAAGGTCATTTGACAATGTTGATGTCCCGGCCTCTGCTCTGAAGGATCTGGGGGTCTTGATATTCACAATAGGATCACGAGGCTCTGACAGCAGAGAACTGCAGAGGATTTCACATGACCCTAAATACGCTCTGTCTGTGTCCGATTTCACTGAGCTCCCAAATGTCCAGGACCAGCTCGTCAACACTGTAGAGGCTGTTGCCGTTCCCATCACTCCAGCATCACCAACTCCCATCGGTATGACTGTGTGAAAGAATTATATAATAAAACGATTAACATAACTGTATTTTTAGGGATTTTTTTAAATTGAAGCCAGTCTATAAAATAGGCAATGAAAGAAGTGTCTCTGTAGCCTTTAGACCTCAAATTGATGCATCTTAACAAATGGCATTGTTCTCTTTCCAGTTGATTATGACATCACCAGAAAGGATGTTGTTTTCCTGCTGGATGGTTCAGATGGCACTAGGAAAGGATTCCCAGCCATGCTTGACTTTGTACAAAAAGTAGTTGAAAAACTCAACATAGAGGAGAGCAGGGACCGCGTTTCAGTGGTGCAGTACAGTAGAGATCCTGAGGTCCATTTCTATCTAAATACTTACTCGGAAGAGACAGACGTCCTCGACACCATCAAGACGCTAAGGCACAGAGGTGGCAGACCCCTCAACACTGGGTCAGCTCTGCAGTATGTGAGAGACAATGTCTTCACTGCCTCTGCTGGCAGTAGAAGTCAACAGGGTGTCCCTCAGATTCTCATTTTGCTCAGTGGATCAAGGTCAAATGATAATGTCGATACGCCTGCCTCTGCTTTGAAAGAAAGTGGGGTCTTGATTCTTGGTGTTGGCACCAGGAATTCGAGCAGAGAGATTCAGAGAGTTGTCAGTGATCCTTCCTATGCTCAGTCTATTTCTGAGATCTCTGACCTTCCCGCTGTCCAGCAGCAGTTTTTGTCTGCTCTCAGAAGTACAGTTTCATTTGTGACGCCGGTGAAACCTACAGTCATAGGTAAGACAGATTGTCACAGATATTTTCAGGTTGCCCACACAACCTTTGCGGGAAAAGGATAGGTGAATGTGTGCATTCTGAGTTTGAATTAAGTGAGTCAGGTGATTTTGAAAAACGGGCAGTGAAGGTTTATATGACTTTTGTTTTCTTTTTCACTACCTGTAGCTGACAGAAGAATGATCAGGAGGGATGTAGTGTTCCTTTTGGATGGTTCAGATGGCACTAGGGACTCTTTCCCTGCAATGCGTGACTTTGTGCAAAGAATGGTGGACAGGTTGAACGTGTCAGACGGGAGAGACCGTGTGTCGGTAGTCCAGTTCAGCAGAGATCCAGAGGCCCATTTCTATCTTAACACGTACACAACAAAGGAGAGCGTTCTCAACACTGTTAGAGGTCTACGGCACAGAGGGGGGCGACCCCTCAATACAGGAGCAGCTCTCCAGTATGTGAGGGACAACGTCTTCACTGCCTCTTCCGGAAGCAGACGTCAAGAGGGTGTGCCTCAGTTACTGATTTTGTTGAGTGGCGGAAGGTCGTTTGATAACGTTGACATGCCAGCCTCTTCCCTGAAGGAGCTTGGAGTCTTGACCTTTGCTGTAGGATCACGGGGCTCCGATAGTAGAGAATTGCAGAAGATCTCACATGACCCTAGTTCTGCACTCTCAGTGACAGACTTTGCTAATCTCCCCAGTGTCCAAGAGCAGCTTTTCTCCAGAATTAAAACCGTACACGTAGAGACCACAACTGTCTCTCCAACACTGATAGGTAAGACAAAGGGAGTATTAATCCATTTGAGTCAGTCTTTTACGGGCCTGATTTTCCTCAAAGCTGTTCCAAATTCTTCCTGGTATGTAGAGAAGTCGAGATATGAAAAAGTATGTAGCATGCAAATTGTGGTGACGTAACGAAACACTACTCTTTTTATGACCAGTGCAAAGAGGAAAATAGTATTGTGAGCTTGTTTACAGTGCTCTGCCTTTTCAATCTCAATTTCTGTAGTTGAGCCTGAAGCACAAAGGAGAGATGTTGTTTTCCTGCTGGATGGGTCAGATGGCACTCGCAGTGGGTTCCCTGCGATGAAGGACTTTGTGCTAAGAGTGATGGAGAAGTTGAATGTGGCTGAGAACAAAGACCGTGTTTCTGTAGTCCAGTTCAGCAGAGATCCTGAGACACATTTCTATCTAAACACGTACACAAGAAAGGATGACATAGTTGACACGGTTAGTGTTCTGAGGCACAAAGGAGGAAGACCCCTGAACACCGGGGCGGCTCTCCAGTACGTCAGAGACAATGTCTTCACTGCCTCCTCCGGCAGCAGACGACTAGAGGGTGTGCCACAAATACTGATCCTTCTGAGTGGCGGAAGGTCATTTGACAATGTTGATGTCCCGGCCTCTGCTCTGAAGGATCTGGGGGTCTTGATATTCACAATAGGATCACGAGGCTCTGACAGCAGAGAACTGCAGAGGATTTCACATGACCCTAAATACGCTCTGTCTGTGTCCGATTTCACTGAGCTCCCAAATGTCCAGGACCAGCTCGTCAACACTGTAGAGTCTGTTGCCGTTCCCATCACTCCAGCATCACCAACTCCCATCGGTATGACTGTGTGAAAGAATTATATAATAAAACGATTAACATAACTGTATTTTTAGGGATTTTTTAAAATTGAAGCCAGTCTATAAAATAGGCAATGAAAGAAGTGTCTCTGTAGCCTTTAGACCTCAAATTGATGCATCTTAACAAATGGCATTGTTCTCTTTCCAGTTGATTATGACATCACCAGAAAGGATGTTGTTTTCCTGCTGGATGGTTCAGATGGCACTAGGAAAGGATTCCCAGCCATGCTTGACTTTGTGCAAAAAGTAGTTGAAAAACTCAACATAGAGGAGAGCAGGGACCGCGTTTCAGTGGTGCAGTACAGTAGAGATCCTGAGGTCCATTTCTATCTAAATACTTACTCAGAAGAGACAGACGTCCTCGACACCATCAAGACGCTAAGGCACAGAGGTGGCAGACCCCTCAACACTGGGTCAGCTCTGCAGTATGTGAGAGACAATGTCTTCACTGCCTCTGCTGGCAGTAGAAGTCAACAGGGTGTCCCTCAGATTCTCATTTTGCTCAGTGGATCAAGGTCAAATGATAATGTCGATACGCCTGCCTCTGCTTTGAAAGAAAGTGGGGTCTTGATTCTTGGTGTTGGCACCAGGAATTCGAGCAGAGAGATTCAGAGAGTTGTCAGTGATCCTTCCTATGCTCAGTCTATTTCTGAGATCTCTGACCTTCCCGCTGTCCAGCAGCAGTTTTTGTCTGCTCTCAGAAGTACAGTTTCATTTGTGACGCCGGTGAAACCTACAGTCATAGGTAAGACAGATTGTCACAGATATTTTCAGGTTGCCCACACAACCTTTGCGGGAAAAGGATAGGTGAATGTGTGCATTCTGAGTTTCAATTAAGTGAGTCAGGTGATTTTGAAAAACGGGCAGTGAAGGTTTATATGACTTTTGTTTTCTTTTTCACTACCTGTAGCTGACAGAAGAATGATCAGGAGGGATGTAGTGTTCCTTTTGGATGGTTCAGATGGCACTAGGGACTCTTTCCCTGCAATGCGTGACTTTGTGCAAAGAATGGTGGACAGGTTGAACGTGTCAGACGGGAGAGACCGTGTGTCGGTAGTCCAGTTCAGCAGAGATCCAGAGGCCCATTTCTATCTTAACACGTACACAACAAAGGAGAGCGTTCTCAACACTGTTAGAGGTCTACGGCACAGAGGGGGGGCGACCCCTCAATACAGGAGCAGCTCTCCAGTATGTGAGGGACAACGTCTTCACTGCCTCTTCCGGAAGCAGACGTCAAGAGGGTGTGCCTCAGTTACTGATTTTGTTGAGTGGCGGAAGGTCGTTTGATAACGTTGACATGCCAGCCTCTTCCCTGAAGGAGCTTGGAGTCTTGACCTTTGCTGTAGGATCACGGGGCTCCGATAGTAGAGAATTGCAGAAGATCTCACATGACCCTAGTTCTGCACTCTCAGTGACAGACTTTGCTAATCTCCCCAGTGTCCAAGAGCAGCTTTTCTCCAGAATTAAAACCGTACACGTAGAGACCACAACTGTCTCTCCAACACTGATAGGTAAGACAAAGGGAGTATTAATCCATTTGAGTCAGTCTTTTACGGGCCTGATTTTCCTCAAAGCTGTTCCAAATTCTTCCTGGTATGTAGAGAAGTCGAGATATGAAAAAGTATGTAGCATGCAAATTGTGGTGACGTAACGAAACACTACTCTTTTTATGACCAGTGCAAAGAGGAAAATAGTATTGTGAGCTTGTTTACAGTGCTCTGCCTTTTCAATCTCAATTTCTGTAGTTGAGCCTGAAGCACAAAGGAGAGATGTTGTTTTCCTGCTGGATGGGTCAGATGGCACTCGCAGTGGGTTCCCTGCGATGAAGGACTTTGTGCTAAGAGTGATGGAGAAGTTGAATGTGGCTGAGAACAAAGACCGTGTTTCTGTAGTCCAGTTCAGCAGAGATCCTGAGACACATTTCTATCTAAACACGTACACAAGAAAGGATGACATAGTTGACACGGTTAGTGTTCTGAGGCACAAAGGAGGAAGACCCCTGAACACCGGGGCGGCTCTCCAGTACGTCAGAGACAATGTCTTCACTGCCTCCTCCGGCAGCAGACGACTAGAGGGTGTGCCACAAATACTGATCCTTCTGAGTGGCGGAAGGTCATTTGACAATGTTGATGTCCCGGCCTCTGCTCTGAAGGATCTGGGGGTCTTGATATTCACAATAGGATCACGAGGCTCTGACAGCAGAGAACTGCAGAGGATTTCACATGACCCTAAATACGCTCTGTCTGTGTCCGATTTCACTGAGCTCCCAAATGTCCAGGACCAGCTCGTCAACACTGTAGAGTCTGTTGCCGTTCCCATCACTCCAGCATCACCAACTCCCATCGGTATGACTGTGTGAAAGAATTATATAATAAAACGATTAACATAACTGTATTTTTAGGGATTTTTTTAAATTGAAGCCAGTCTATAAAATAGGCAATGAAAGAAGTGTCTCTGTAGCCTTTAGACCTCAAATTGATGCATCTTAACAAATGGCATTGTTCTCTTTCCAGTTGATTATGACATCACCAGAAAGGATGTTGTTTTCCTGCTGGATGGTTCAGATGGCACTAGAAATGGATTCCCAGCCATGCTTGACTTTGTGCAAAAAGTAGTTGAAAAACTCAACATAGAGGAGAGCCGGGACCGCGTTTCAGTGGTGCAGTACAGTAGAGATCCTGAGGTCCATTTCTATCTAAATACTTACTCGGAAGAGACAGACGTCCTCGACACCATCAAGACGCTAAGGCACAGAGGTGGCAGACCCCTCAACACTGGGTCAGCTCTGCAGTATGTGAGAGACAATGTCTTCACTGCCTCTGCTGGCAGTAGAAGTCAACAGGGTGTCCCTCAGATTCTCATTTTGCTCAGTGGATCAAGGTCAAATGATAATGTCGATACGCCTGCCTCTGCTTTGAAAGAAAGTGGGGTCTTGATTCTTGGTGTTGGCACCAGGAATTCGAGCAGAGAGATTCAGAGAGTTGTCAGTGATCCTTCCTATGCTCAGTCTATTTCTGAGATCTCTGACCTTCCCGCTGTCCAGCAGCAGTTTTTGTCTGCTCTCAGAAGTACAGTTTCATTTGTGACGCCGGTGAAACCTACAGTCATAGGTAAGACAGATTGTCACAGATATTTTCAGGTTGCCCACACAACCTTTGCGGGAAAAGGATAGGTGAATGTGTGCATTCTGAGTTTGAATTAAGTGAGTCAGGTGATTTTGAAAAACGGGCAGTGAAGGTTTATATGACTTTTGTTTTCTTTTTCACTACCTGTAGCTGACAGAAGAATGATCAGGAGGGATGTAGTGTTCCTTTTGGATGGTTCAGATGGCACTAGGGACTCTTTCCCTGCAATGCGTGACTTTGTGCAAAGAATGGTGGACAGGTTGAACGTGTCAGACGGGAGAGACCGTGTGTCGGTAGTCCAGTTCAGCAGAGATCCAGAGGCCCATTTCTATCTTAACACGTACACAACAAAGGAGAGCGTTCTCAACACTGTTAGAGGTCTACGGCACAGAGGGGGGCGACCCCTCAATACAGGAGCAGCTCTCCAGTATGTGAGGGACAACGTCTTCACTGCCTCTTCCGGAAGCAGACGTCAAGAGGGTGTGCCTCAGTTACTGATTTTGTTGAGTGGCGGAAGGTCGTTTGATAACGTTGACATGCCAGCCTCTTCCCTGAAGGAGCTTGGAGTCTTGACCTTTGCTGTAGGATCACGGGGCTCCGATAGTAGAGAATTGCAGAAGATCTCACATGACCCTAGTTCTGCACTCTCAGTGACAGACTTTGCTAATCTCCCCAGTGTCCAAGAGCAGCTTTTCTCCAGAATTAAAACCGTACACGTAGAGACCACAACTGTCTCTCCAACACTGATAGGTAAGACAAAGGGAGTATTAATCCATTTGAGTCAGTCTTTTACGGGCCTGATTTTCCTCAAAGCTGTTCCAAATTCTTCCTGGTATGTAGAGAAGTCGAGATATGAAAAAGTATGTAGCATGCAAATTGTGGTGACGTAACGAAACACTACTCTTTTTATGACCAGTGCAAAGAGGAAAATAGTATTGTGAGCTTGTTTACAGTGCTCTGCCTTTTCAATCTCAATTTCTGTAGTTGAGCCTGAAGCACAAAGGAGAGATGTTGTTTTCCTGCTGGATGGGTCAGATGGCACTCGCAGTGGGTTCCCTGCGATGAAGGACTTTGTGCTAAGAGTGATGGAGAAGTTGAATGTGGCTGAGAACAAAGACCGTGTTTCTGTAGTCCAGTTCAGCAGAGATCCTGAGACACATTTCTATCTAAACACGTACACAAGAAAGGATGACATAGTTGACACGGTTAGTGTTCTGAGGCACAAAGGAGGAAGACCCCTGAACACCGGGGCGGCTCTCCAGTACGTCAGAGACAATGTCTTCACTGCCTCCTCCGGCAGCAGACGACTAGAGGGTGTGCCACAAATACTGATCCTTCTGAGTGGCGGAAGGTCATTTGACAATGTTGATGTCCCGGCCTCTGCTCTGAAGGATCTGGGGGTCTTGATATTCACAATAGGATCACGAGGCTCTGACAGCAGAGAACTGCAGAGGATTTCACATGACCCTAAATACGCTCTGTCTGTGTCCGATTTCACTGAGCTCCCAAATGTCCAGGACCAGCTCGTCAACACTGTAGAGGCTGTTGCCGTTCCCATCACTCCAGCATCACCAACTCCCATCGGTATGACTGTGTGAAAGAATTATATAATAAAACGATTAACATAACTGTATTTTTAGGGATTTTTTTAAATTGAAGCCAGTCTATAAAATAGGCAATGAAAGAAGTGTCTCTGTAGCCTTTAGACCTCAAATTGATGCATCTTAACAAATGGCATTGTTCTCTTTCCAGTTGATTATGACATCACCAGAAAGGATGTTGTTTTCCTGCTGGATGGTTCAGATGGCACTAGGAAAGGATTCCCAGCCATGCTTGACTTTGTGCAAAAAGTAGTTGAAAAACTCAACATAGAGGAGAGCAGGGACCGCGTTTCAGTGGTGCAGTACAGTAGAGATCCTGAGGTCCATTTCTATCTAAATACTTACTCGGAAGAAACAGACGTCCTCGACACCATCAAGACGCTAAGGCACAGAGGTGGCAGACCCCTCAACACTGGGTCAGCTCTGCAGTATGTGAGAGACAATGTCTTCACTGCCTCTGCTGGCAGTAGAAGTCAACAGGGTGTCCCTCAGATTCTCATTTTGCTCAGTGGATCAAGGTCAAATGATAATGTCGATACGCCTGCCTCTGCTTTGAAAGAAAGTGGGGTCTTGATTCTTGGTGTTGGCACCAGGAATTCGAGCAGAGAGATTCAGAGAGTTGTCAGTGATCCTTCCTATGCTCAGTCTATTTCTGAGATCTCTGACCTTCCCGCTGTCCAGCAGCAGTTTTTGTCTGCTCTCAGAAGTACAGTTTCATTTGTGACGCCGGTGAAACCTACAGTCATAGGTAAGACAGATTGTCACAGATATTTTCAGGTTGCCCACACAACCTTTGCGGGAAAAGGATAGGTGAATGTGTGCATTCTGAGTTTGAATTAAGTGAGTCAGGTGATTTTGAAAAACGGGCAGTGAAGGTTTATATGACTTTTGTTTTCTTTTTCACTACCTGTAGCTGACAGAAGAATGATCAGGAGGGATGTAGTGTTCCTTTTGGATGGTTCAGATGGCACTAGGGACTCTTTCCCTGCAATGCGTGACTTTGTGCAAAGAATGGTGGACAGGTTGAACGTGTCAGACGGGAGAGACCGTGTGTCGGTAGTCCAGTTCAGCAGAGATCCAGAGGCCCATTTCTATCTTAACACGTACACAACAAAGGAGAGCGTTCTCAACACTGTTAGAGGTCTACGGCACAGAGGGGGGCGACCCCTCAATACAGGAGCAGCTCTCCAGTATGTGAGGGACAACGTCTTCACTGCCTCTTCCGGAAGCAGACGTCAAGAGGGTGTGCCTCAGTTACTGATTTTGTTGAGTGGCGGAAGGTCGTTTGATAACGTTGACATGCCAGCCTCTTCCCTGAAGGAGCTTGGAGTCTTGACCTTTGCTGTAGGATCACGGGGCTCCGATAGTAGAGAATTGCAGAAGATCTCACATGACCCTAGTTCTGCACTCTCAGTGACAGACTTTGCTAATCTCCCCAGTGTCCAAGAGCAGCTTTTCTCCAGAATTAAAACCGTACACGTAGAGACCACAACTGTCTCTCCAACACTGATAGGTAAGACAAAGGGAGTATTAATCCATTTGAGTCAGTCTTTTACGGGCCTGATTTTCCTCAAAGCTGTTCCAAATTCTTCCTGGTATGTAGAGAAGTCGAGATATGAAAAAGTATGTAGCATGCAAATTGTGGTGACGTAACGAAACACTACTCTTTTTATGACCAGTGCAAAGAGGAAAATAGTATTGTGAGCTTGTTTACAGTGCTCTGCCTTTTCAATCTCAATTTCTGTAGTTGAGCCTGAAGCACAAAGGAGAGATGTTGTTTTCCTGCTGGATGGGTCAGATGGCACTCGCAGTGGGTTCCCTGCGATGAAGGACTTTGTGCTAAGAGTGATGGAGAAGTTGAATGTGGCTGAGAACAAAGACCGTGTTTCTGTAGTCCAGTTCAGCAGAGATCCTGAGACACATTTCTATCTAAACACGTACACAAGAAAGGATGACATAGTTGACACGGTTAGTGTTCTGAGGCACAAAGGAGGAAGACCCCTGAACACCGGGGCGGCTCTCCAGTACGTCAGAGACAATGTCTTCACTGCCTCCTCCGGCAGCAGACGACTAGAGGGTGTGCCACAAATACTGATCCTTCTGAGTGGCGGAAGGTCATTTGACAATGTTGATGTCCCGGCCTCTGCTCTGAAGGATCTGGGGGTCTTGATATTCACAATAGGATCACGAGGCTCTGACAGCAGAGAACTGCAGAGGATTTCACATGACCCTAAATACGCTCTGTCTGTGTCCGATTTCACTGAGCTCCCAAATGTCCAGGACCAGCTCGTCAACACTGTAGAGGCTGTTGCCGTTCCCATCACTCCAGCATCACCAACTCCCATCGGTATGACTGTGTGAAAGAATTATATAATAAAACGATTAACATAACTGTATTTTTAGGGATTTTTTTAAATTGAAGCCAGTCTATAAAATAGGCAATGAAAGAAGTGTCTCTGTAGCCTTTAGACCTCAAATTGATGCATCTTAACAAATGGCATTGTTCTCTTTCCAGTTGATTATGACATCACCAGAAAGGATGTTGTTTTCCTGCTGGATGGTTCAGATGGCACTAGGAATGGATTCCCAGCCATGCTTGACTTTGTGCAAAAAGTAGTTGAAAAACTCAACATAGAGGAGAGCAGGGACCGCGTTTCAGTGGTGCAGTACAGTAGAGATCCTGAGGTCCATTTCTATCTAAATACTTACTCGGAAGAGACAGACGTCCTCGACACCATCAAGACGCTAAGGCACAGAGGTGGCAGACCCCTCAACACTGGGTCAGCTCTGCAGTATGTGAGAGACAATGTCTTCACTGCCTCTGCTGGCAGTAGAAGTCAACAGGGTGTCCCTCAGATTCTCATTTTGCTCAGTGGATCAAGGTCAAATGATAATGTCGATACGCCTGCCTCTGCTTTGAAAGAAAGTGGGGTCTTGATTCTTGGTGTTGGCACCAGGAATTCGAGCAGAGAGATTCAGAGAGTTGTCAGTGATCCTTCCTATGCTCAGTCTATTTCTGAGATCTCTGACCTTCCCGCTGTCCAGCAGCAGTTTTTGTCTGCTCTCAGAAGTACAGTTTCATTTGTGACGCCGGTGAAACCTACAGTCATAGGTAAGACAGATTGTCACAGATATTTTCAGGTTGCCCACACAACCTTTGCGGGAAAAGGATAGGTGAATGTGTGCATTCTGAGTTTGAATTAAGTGAGTCAGGTGATTTTGAAAAACGGGCAGTGAAGGTTTATATGACTTTTGTTTTCTTTTTCACTACCTGTAGCTGACAGAAGAATGATCAGGAGGGATGTAGTGTTCCTTTTGGATGGTTCAGATGGCACTAGGGACTCTTTCCCTGCAATGCGTGACTTTGTGCAAAGAATGGTGGACAGGTTGAACGTGTCAGACGGGAGAGACCGTGTGTCGGTAGTCCAGTTCAGCAGAGATCCAGAGGCCCATTTCTATCTTAACACGTACACAACAAAGGAGAGCGTTCTCAACACTGTTAGAGGTCTACGGCACAGAGGGGGGCGACCCCTCAATACAGGAGCAGCTCTCCAGTATGTGAGGGACAACGTCTTCACTGCCTCTTCCGGAAGCAGACGTCAAGAGGGTGTGCCTCAGTTACTGATTTTGTTGAGTGGCGGAAGGTCGTTTGATAACGTTGACATGCCAGCCTCTTCCCTGAAGGAGCTTGGAGTCTTGACCTTTGCTGTAGGATCACGGGGCTCCGATAGTAGAGAATTGCAGAAGATCTCACATGACCCTAGTTCTGCACTCTCAGTGACAGACTTTGCTAATCTCCCCAGTGTCCAAGAGCAGCTTTTCTCCAGAATTAAAACCGTACACGTAGAGACCACAACTGTCTCTCCAACACTGATAGGTAAGACAAAGGGAGTATTAATCCATTTGAGTCAGTCTTTTACGGGCCTGATTTTCCTCAAAGCTGTTCCAAATTCTTCCTGGTATGTAGAGAAGTCGAGATATGAAAAAGTATGTAGCATGCAAATTGTGGTGACGTAACGAAACACTACTCTTTTTATGACCAGTGCAAAGAGGAAAATAGTATTGTGAGCTTGTTTACAGTGCTCTGCCTTTTCAATCTCAATTTCTGTAGTTGAGCCTGAAGCACAAAGGAGAGATGTTGTTTTCCTGCTGGATGGGTCAGATGGCACTCGCAGTGGGTTCCCTGCGATGAAGGACTTTGTGCTAAGAGTGATGGAGAAGTTGAATGTGGCTGAGAACAAAGACCGTGTTTCTGTAGTCCAGTTCAGCAGAGATCCTGAGACACATTTCTATCTAAACACGTACACAAGAAAGGATGACATAGTTGACACGGTTAGTGTTCTGAGGCACAAAGGAGGAAGACCCCTGAACACCGGGGCGGCTCTCCAGTACGTCAGAGACAATGTCTTCACTGCCTCCTCCGGCAGCAGACGACTAGAGGGTGTGCCACAAATACTGATCCTTCTGAGTGGCGGAAGGTCATTTGACAATGTTGATGTCCCGGCCTCTGCTCTGAAGGATCTGGGGGTCTTGATATTCACAATAGGATCACGAGGCTCTGACAGCAGAGAACTGCAGAGGATTTCACATGACCCTAAATACGCTCTGTCTGTGTCCGATTTCACTGAGCTCCCAAATGTCCAGGACCAGCTCGTCAACACTGTAGAGGCTGTTGCCGTTCCCATCACTCCAGCATCACCAACTCCCATCGGTATGACTGTGTGAAAGAATTATATAATAAAACGATTAACATAACTGTATTTTTAGGGATTTTTTTAAATTGAAGCCAGTCTATAAAATAGGCAATGAAAGAAGTGTCTCTGTAGCCTTTAGACCTCAAATTGATGCATCTTAACAAATGGCATTGTTCTCTTTCCAGTTGATTATGACATCACCAGAAAGGATGTTGTTTTCCTGCTGGATGGTTCAGATGGCACTAGGAAAGGATTCCCAGCCATGCTTGACTTTGTGCAAAAAGTAGTTGAAAAACTCAACATAGAGGAGAGCAGGGACCCGCGTTTCAGTGGTGCAGTACAGTAGAGATCCTGAGGTCCATTTCTATCTAAATACTTACTCGGAAGAAACAGACGTCCTCGACACCATCAAGACGCTAAGCCACAGAGGTGGCAGACCCCTCAACACCGGGTCAGCTCTGCAGTATGTGAGAGACAATGTCTTCACTGCCTCTGCTGGCAGTAGAAGTCAACAGGGTGTCCCTCAGATTCTCATTTTGCTCAGTGGATCAAGGTCAAATGATAATGTCGATACGCCTGCCTCTGCTTTGAAAGAAAGTGGGGTCTTGATTCTTGGTGTTGGCACCAGGAATTCGAGCAGAGAGATTCAGAGAATTGTCAGTGATCCTTCCTATGCTCAGTCTATTTCTGAGATCTCTGACCTTCCCGCTGTCCAGCAGCAGTTTTTGTCTGCTCTCAGAAGTACAGTTTCATTTGTGACGCCGGTGAAACCTACAGTCATAGGTAAGACAGATTGTCACAGATATTTTCAGGTTGCCCACACAACCTTTGCGGGAAAAGGATAGGTGAATGTGTGCATTCTGAGTTTGAATTAAGTGAGTCAGGTGATTTTGAAAAACGGGCAGTGAAGGTTTATATGACTTTTGTTTTCTTTTTCACTACCTGTAGCTGACAGAAGAATGATCAGGAGGGATGTAGTGTTCCTTTTGGATGGTTCAGATGGCACTAGGGACTCTTTCCCTGCAATGCGTGACTTTGTGCAAAGAATGGTGGACAGGTTGAACGTGTCAGACGGGAGAGACCGTGTGTCGGTAGTCCAGTTCAGCAGAGATCCAGAGGCCCATTTCTATCTTAACACGTACACAACAAAGGAGAGCGTTCTCAACACTGTTAGAGGTCTACGGCACAGAGGGGGGGCGACCCCTCAATACAGGAGCAGCTCTCCAGTATGTGAGGGACAACGTCTTCACTGCCTCTTCCGGAAGCAGACGTCAAGAGGGTGTGCCTCAGTTACTGATTTTGTTGAGTGGCGGAAGGTCGTTTGATAACGTTGACATGCCAGCCTCTTCCCTGAAGGAGCTTGGAGTCTTGACCTTTGCTGTAGGATCACGGGGCTCCGATAGTAGAGAATTGCAGAAGATCTCACATGACCCTAGTTCTGCACTCTCAGTGACAGACTTTGCTAATCTCCCCAGTGTCCAAGAGCAGCTTTTCTCCAGAATTAAAACCGTACACGTAGAGACCACAACTGTCTCTCCAACACTGATAGGTAAGACAAAGGGAGTATTAATCCATTTGAGTCAGTCTTTTACGGGCCTGATTTTCCTCAAAGCTGTTCCAAATTCTTCCTGGTATGTAGAGAAGTCGAGATATGAAAAAGTATGTAGCATGCAAATTGTGGTGACGTAACGAAACACTACTCTTTTTATGACCAGTGCAAAGAGGAAAATAGTATTGTGAGCTTGTTTACAGTGCTCTGCCTTTTCAATCTCAATTTCTGTAGTTGAGCCTGAAGCACAAAGGAGAGATGTTGTTTTCCTGCTGGATGGGTCAGATGGCACTCGCAGTGGGTTCCCTGCGATGAAGGACTTTGTGCTAAGAGTGATGGAGAAGTTGAATGTGGCTGAGAACAAAGACCGTGTTTCTGTAGTCCAGTTCAGCAGAGATCCTGAGACACATTTCTATCTAAACACGTACACAAGAAAGGATGACATAGTTGACACGGTTAGTGTTCTGAGGCACAAAGGAGGAAGACCCCTGAACACCGGGGCGGCTCTCCAGTACGTCAGAGACAATGTCTTCACTGCCTCCTCCGGCAGCAGACGACTAGAGGGTGTGCCACAAATACTGATCCTTCTGAGTGGCGGAAGGTCATTTGACAATGTTGATGTCCCGGCCTCTGCTCTGAAGGATCTGGGGGTCTTGATATTCACAATAGGATCACGAGGCTCTGACAGCAGAGAACTGCAGAGGATTTCACATGACCCTAAATACGCTCTGTCTGTGTCCGATTTCACTGAGCTCCCAAATGTCCAGGACCAGCTCGTCAACACTGTAGAGGCTGTTGCCGTTCCCATCACTCCAGCATCACCAACTCCCATCGGTATGACTGTGTGAAAGAATTATATAATAAAACGATTAACATAACTGTATTTTTAGGGATTTTTTAAAATTGAAGCCAGTCTGTAAAATAGGCAATGAAAGAAGTGTCTCTGTAGCCTTTAGACCTCAAATTGATGCATCTTAACAAATGGCATTGTTCTCTTTCCAGTTGATTATGACATCACCAGAAAGGATGTTGTTTTCCTGCTGGATGGTTCAGATGGCACTAGAAATGGATTCCCAGCCATGCTTGACTTTGTGCAAAAAGTAGTTGAAAAACTCAACATAGAGGAGAGCCGGGACCGCGTTTCAGTGGTGCAGTACAGTAGAGATCCTGAGGTCCATTTCTATCTAAATACTTACTCAGAAGAGACAGACGTCCTCGACACCATCAAGACGCTAAGGCACAGAGGTGGCAGACCCCTCAACACTGGGTCAGCTCTGCAGTATGTGAGAGACAATGTCTTCACTGCCTCTGCTGGCAGTAGAAGTCAACAGGGTGTCCCTCAGATTCTCATTTTGCTCAGTGGATCAAGGTCAAATGATAATGTCGATACGCCTGCCTCTGCTTTGAAAGAAAGTGGGGTCTTGATTCTTGGTGTTGGCACCAGGAATTCGAGCAGAGAGATTCAGAGAATTGTCAGTGATCCTTCCTATGCTCAGTCTATTTCTGAGATCTCTGACCTTCCCGCTGTCCAGCAGCAGTTTTTGTCTGCTCTCAGAAGTACAGTTTCATTTGTGACGCCGGTGAAACCTACAGTCATAGGTAAGACAGATTGTCACAGATATTTTCAGGTTGCCCACACAACCTTTGCGGGAAAAGGATAGGTGAATGTGTGCATTCTGAGTTTGAATTAAGTGAGTCAGGTGATTTTGAAAAACGGGCAGTGAAGGTTTATATGACTTTTGTTTTCTTTTTCACTACCTGTAGCTGACAGAAGAATGATCAGGAGGGATGTAGTGTTCCTTTTGGATGGTTCAGATGGCACTAGGGACTCTTTCCCTGCAATGCGTGACTTTGTGCAAAGAATGGTGGACAGGTTGAACGTGTCAGACGGGAGAGACCGTGTGTCGGTAGTCCAGTTCAGCAGAGATCCAGAGGCCCATTTCTATCTTAACACGTACACAACAAAGGAGAGCGTTCTCAACACTGTTAGAGGTCTACGGCACAGAGGGGGGCGACCCCTCAATACAGGAGCAGCTCTCCAGTATGTGAGGGACAACGTCTTCACTGCCTCTTCCGGAAGCAGACGTCAAGAGGGTGTGCCTCAGTTACTGATTTTGTTGAGTGGCGGAAGGTCGTTTGATAACGTTGACATGCCAGCCTCTTCCCTGAAGGAGCTTGGAGTCTTGACCTTTGCTGTAGGATCACGGGGCTCCGATAGTAGAGAATTGCAGAAGATCTCACATGACCCTAGTTCTGCACTCTCAGTGACAGACTTTGCTAATCTCCCCAGTGTCCAAGAGCAGCTTTTCTCCAGAATTAAAACCGTACACGTAGAGACCACAACTGTCTCTCCAACACTGATAGGTAAGACAAAGGGAGTATTAATCCATTTGAGTCAGTCTTTTACGGGCCTGATTTTCCTCAAAGCTGTTCCAAATTCTTCCTGGTATGTAGAGAAGTCGAGATATGAAAAAGTATGTAGCATGCAAATTGTGGTGACGTAACGAAACACTACTCTTTTTATGACCAGTGCAAAGAGGAAAATAGTATTGTGAGCTTGTTTACAGTGCTCTGCCTTTTCAATCTCAATTTCTGTAGTTGAGCCTGAAGCACAAAGGAGAGATGTTGTTTTCCTGCTGGATGGGTCAGATGGCACTCGCAGTGGGTTCCCTGCGATGAAGGACTTTGTGCTAAGAGTGATGGAGAAGTTGAATGTGGCTGAGAACAAAGACCGTGTTTCTGTAGTCCAGTTCAGCAGAGATCCTGAGACACATTTCTATCTAAACACGTACACAAGAAAGGATGACATAGTTGACACGGTTAGTGTTCTGAGGCACAAAGGAGGAAGGCCCCTGAACACCGGGGCGGCTCTCCAGTACGTCAGAGACAATGTCTTCACTGCCTCCTCCGGCAGCAGACGACTAGAGGGTGTGCCACAAATACTGATCCTTCTGAGTGGCGGAAGGTCATTTGACAATGTTGATGTCCCGGCCTCTGCTCTGAAGGATCTGGGGGTCTTGATATTCACAATAGGATCACGAGGCTCTGACAGCAGAGAACTGCAGAGGATTTCACATGACCCTAAATACGCTCTGTCTGTGTCCGATTTCACTGAGCTCCCAAATGTCCAGGACCAGCTCGTCAACACTGTAGAGGCTGTTGCCGTTCCCATCACTCCAGCATCACCAACTCCCATCGGTATGACTGTGTGAAAGAATTATATAATAAAACGATTAACATAACTGTATTTTTAGGGATTTTTTTAAATTGAAGCCAGTCTATAAAATAGGCAATGAAAGAAGTGTCTCTGTAGCCTTTAGACCTCAAATTGATGCATCTTAACAAATGGCATTGTTCTCTTTCCAGTTGATTATGACATCACCAGAAAGGATGTTGTTTTCCTGCTGGATGGTTCAGATGGCACTAGAAATGGATTCCCAGCCATGCTTGACTTTGTGCAAAAAGTAGTTGAAAAACTCAACATAGAGGAGAGCCGGGACCGCGTTTCAGTGGTGCAGTACAGTAGAGATCCTGAGGTCCATTTCTATCTAAATACTTACTCGGAAGAAACAGACGTCCTCGACACCATCAAGACGCTAAGCCACAGAGGTGGCAGACCCCTCAACACCGGGTCAGCTCTGCAGTATGTGAGAGACAATGTCTTCACTGCCTCTGCTGGCAGTAGAAGTCAACAGGGTGTCCCTCAGATTCTCATTTTGCTCAGTGGATCAAGGTCAAATGATAATGTCGATACGCCTGCCTCTGCTTTGAAAGAAAGTGGGGTCTTGATTCTTGGTGTTGGCACCAGGAATTCGAGCAGAGAGATTCAGAGAGTTGTCAGTGATCCTTCCTATGCTCAGTCTATTTCTGAGATCTCTGACCTTCCCGCTGTCCAGCAGCAGTTTTTGTCTGCTCTCAGAAGTACAGTTTCATTTGTGACGCCGGTGAAACCTACAGTCATAGGTAAGACAGATTGTCACAGATATTTTCAGGTTGCCCACACAACCTTTGCGGGAAAAGGATAGGTGAATGTGTGCATTCTGAGTTTGAATTAAGTGAGTCAGGTGATTTTGAAAAACGGGCAGTGAAGGTTTATATGACTTTTGTTTTCTTTTTCACTACCTGTAGCTGACAGAAGAATGATCAGGAGGGATGTAGTGTTCCTTTTGGATGGTTCAGATGGCACTAGGGACTCTTTCCCTGCAATGCGTGACTTTGTGCAAAGAATGGTGGACAGGTTGAACGTGTCAGACGGGAGAGACCGTGTGTCGGTAGTCCAGTTCAGCAGAGATCCAGAGGCCCATTTCTATCTTAACACGTACACAACAAAGGAGAGCGTTCTCAACACTGTTAGAGGTCTACGGCACAGAGGGGGGCGACCCCTCAATACAGGAGCAGCTCTCCAGTATGTGAGGGACAACGTCTTCACTGCCTCTTCCGGAAGCAGACGTCAAGAGGGTGTGCCTCAGTTACTGATTTTGTTGAGTGGCGGAAGGTCGTTTGATAACGTTGACATGCCAGCCTCTTCCCTGAAGGAGCTTGGAGTCTTGACCTTTGCTGTAGGATCACGGGGCTCCGATAGTAGAGAATTGCAGAAGATCTCACATGACCCTAGTTCTGCACTCTCAGTGACAGACTTTGCTAATCTCCCCAGTGTCCAAGAGCAGCTTTTCTCCAGAATTAAAACCGTACACGTAGAGACCACAACTGTCTCTCCAACACTGATAGGTAAGACAAAGGGAGTATTAATCCATTTGAGTCAGTCTTTTACGGGCCTGATTTTCCTCAAAGCTGTTCCAAATTCTTCCTGGTATGTAGAGAAGTCGAGATATGAAAAAGTATGTAGCATGCAAATTGTGGTGACGTAACGAAACACTACTCTTTTTATGACCAGTGCAAAGAGGAAAATAGTATTGTGAGCTTGTTTACAGTGCTCTGCCTTTTCAATCTCAATTTCTGTAGTTGAGCCTGAAGCACAAAGGAGAGATGTTGTTTTCCTGCTGGATGGGTCAGATGGCACTCGCAGTGGGTTCCCTGCGATGAAGGACTTTGTGCTAAGAGTGATGGAGAAGTTGAATGTGGCTGAGAACAAAGACCGTGTTTCTGTAGTCCAGTTCAGCAGAGATCCTGAGACACATTTCTATCTAAACACGTACACAAGAAAGGATGACATAGTTGACACGGTTAGTGTTCTGAGGCACAAAGGAGGAAGACCCCTGAACACCGGGGCGGCTCTCCAGTACGTCAGAGACAATGTCTTCACTGCCTCCTCCGGCAGCAGACGACTAGAGGGTGTGCCACAAATACTGATCCTTCTGAGTGGCGGAAGGTCATTTGACAATGTTGATGTCCCGGCCTCTGCTCTGAAGGATCTGGGGGTCTTGATATTCACAATAGGATCACGAGGCTCTGACAGCAGAGAACTGCAGAGGATTTCACATGACCCTAAATACGCTCTGTCTGTGTCCGATTTCACTGAGCTCCCAAATGTCCAGGACCAGCTCGTCAACACTGTAGAGGCTGTTGCCGTTCCCATCACTCCAGCATCACCAACTCCCATCGGTATGACTGTGTGAAAGAATTATATAATAAAACGATTAACATAACTGTATTTTTAGGGATTTTTTAAAATTGAAGCCAGTCTGTAAAATAGGCAATGAAAGAAGTGTCTCTGTAGCCTTTAGACCTCAAATTGATGCATCTTAACAAATGGCATTGTTCTCTTTCCAGTTGATTATGACATCACCAGAAAGGATGTTGTTTTCCTGCTGGATGGTTCAGATGGCACTAGGAAAGGATTCCCAGCCATGCTTGACTTTGTACAAAAAGTAGTTGAAAAACTCAACATAGAGGAGAGCAGGGACCGCGTTTCAGTGGTGCAGTACAGTAGAGATCCTGAGGTCCATTTCTATCTAAATACTTACTCGGAAGAAACAGACGTCCTCGACACCATCAAGACGCTAAGCCACAGAGGTGGCAGACCCCTCAACACCGGGTCAGCTCTGCAGTATGTGAGAGACAATGTCTTCACTGCCTCTGCTGGCAGTAGAAGTCAACAGGGTGTCCCTCAGATTCTCATTTTGCTCAGTGGATCAAGGTCAAATGATAATGTCGATACGCCTGCCTCCGCTTTGAAAGAAAGTGGGGTCTTGATTCTTGGTGTTGGCACCAGGAATTCGAGCAGAGAGATTCAGAGAATTGTCAGTGATCCTTCCTATGCTCAGTCTATTTCTGAGATCTCTGACCTTCCCGCTGTCCAGCAGCAGTTTTTGTCTGCTCTCAGAAGTACAGTTTCATTTGTGACGCCGGTGAAACCTACAGTCATAGGTAAGACAGATTGTCACAGATATTTTCAGGTTGCCCACACAACCTTTGCGGGAAAAGGATAGGTGAATGTGTGCATTCTGAGTTTGAATTAAGTGAGTCAGGTGATTTTGAAAAACGGGCAGTGAAGGTTTATATGACTTTTGTTTTCTTTTTCACTACCTGTAGCTGACAGAAGAATGATCAGGAGGGATGTAGTGTTCCTTTTGGATGGTTCAGATGGCACTAGGGACTCTTTCCCTGCAATGCGTGACTTTGTGCAAAGAATGGTGGACAGGTTGAACGTGTCAGACGGGAGAGACCGTGTGTCGGTAGTCCAGTTCAGCAGAGATCCAGAGGCCCATTTCTATCTTAACACGTACACAACAAAGGAGAGCGTTCTCAACACTGTTAGAGGTCTACGGCACAGAGGGGGGCGACCCCTCAATACAGGAGCAGCTCTCCAGTATGTGAGGGACAACGTCTTCACTGCCTCTTCCGGAAGCAGACGTCAAGAGGGTGTGCCTCAGTTACTGATTTTGTTGAGTGGCGGAAGGTCGTTTGATAACGTTGACATGCCAGCCTCTTCCCTGAAGGAGCTTGGAGTCTTGACCTTTGCTGTAGGATCACGGGGCTCCGATAGTAGAGAATTGCAGAAGATCTCACATGACCCTAGTTCTGCACTCTCAGTGACAGACTTTGCTAATCTCCCCAGTGTCCAAGAGCAGCTTTTCTCCAGAATTAAAACCGTACACGTAGAGACCACAACTGTCTCTCCAACACTGATAGGTAAGACAAAGGGAGTATTAATCCATTTGAGTCAGTCTTTTACGGGCCTGATTTTCCTCAAAGCTGTTCCAAATTCTTCCTGGTATGTAGAGAAGTCGAGATATGAAAAAGTATGTAGCATGCAAATTGTGGTGACGTAACGAAACACTACTCTTTTTATGACCAGTGCAAAGAGGAAAATAGTATTGTGAGCTTGTTTACAGTGCTCTGCCTTTTCAATCTCAATTTCTGTAGTTGAGCCTGAAGCACAAAGGAGAGATGTTGTTTTCCTGCTGGATGGGTCAGATGGCACTCGCAGTGGGTTCCCTGCGATGAAGGACTTTGTGCTAAGAGTGATGGAGAAGTTGAATGTGGCTGAGAACAAAGACCGTGTTTCTGTAGTCCAGTTCAGCAGAGATCCTGAGACACATTTCTATCTAAACACGTACACAAGAAAGGATGACATAGTTGACACGGTTAGTGTTCTGAGGCACAAAGGAGGAAGACCCCTGAACACCGGGGCGGCTCTCCAGTACGTCAGAGACAATGTCTTCACTGCCTCCTCCGGCAGCAGACGACTAGAGGGTGTGCCACAAATACTGATCCTTCTGAGTGGCGGAAGGTCATTTGACAATGTTGATGTCCCGGCCTCTGCTCTGAAGGATCTGGGGGTCTTGATATTCACAATAGGATCACGAGGCTCTGACAGCAGAGAACTGCAGAGGATTTCACATGACCCTAAATACGCTCTGTCTGTGTCCGATTTCACTGAGCTCCCAAATGTCCAGGACCAGCTCGTCAACACTGTAGAGGCTGTTGCCGTTCCCATCACTCCAGCATCACCAACTCCCATCGGTATGACTGTGTGAAAGAATTATATTAAAACGATTAACATAACTGTATTTTTAGGGATTTTTTTTAATTGAAGCCAGTCTATAAAATAGGCAATGAAAGAAGTGTCTCTGTAGCCTTTAGACCTCAAATTGATGCATCTTAACAAATGGCATTGTTCTCTTTCCAGTTGATTATGACATCACCAGAAAGGATGTTGTTTTCCTGCTGGATGGTTCAGATGGCACTAGGAAAGGATTCCCAGCCATGCTTGACTTTGTGCAAAAAGTAGTTGAAAAACTCAACATAGAGGAGAGCAGGGACCGCGTTTCAGTGGTGCAGTACAGTAGAGATCCTGAGGTCCATTTCTATCTAAATACTTACTCGGAAGAGACAGACGTCCTCGACACCATCAAGACGCTAAGCCACAGAGGTGGCAGACCCCTCAACACCGGGTCAGCTCTGCAGTATGTGAGAGACAATGTCTTCACTGCCTCTGCTGGCAGTAGAAGTCAACAGGGTGTCCCTCAGATTCTCATTTTGCTCAGTGGATCAAGGTCAAATGATAATGTCGATACGCTTGCCTCCGCTTTGAAAGAAAGTGGGGTCTTGATTCTTGGTGTTGGCACCAGGAATTCGAGCAGAGAGATTCAGAGAATTGTCAGTGATCCTTCCTATGCTCAGTCTATTTCTGAGATCTCTGACCTTCCCGCTGTCCAGCAGCAGTTTTTGTCTGCTCTCAGAAGTACAGTTTCATTTGTGACGCCGGTGAAACCTACAGTCATAGGTAAGACAGATTGTCACAGATATTTTCAGGTTGCCCACACAACCTTTGCGGGAAAAGGATAGGTGAATGTGTGCATTCTGAGTTTGAATTAAGTGAGTCAGGTGATTTTGAAAAACGGGCAGTGAAGGTTTATATGACTTTTGTTTTCTTTTTCACTACCTGTAGCTGACAGAAGAATGATCAGGAGGGATGTAGTGTTCCTTTTGGATGGTTCAGATGGCACTAGGGACTCTTTCCCTGCAATGCGTGACTTTGTGCAAAGAATGGTGGACAGGTTGAACGTGTCAGACGGGAGAGACCGTGTGTCGGTAGTCCAGTTCAGCAGAGATCCAGAGGCCCATTTCTATCTTAACACGTACACAACAAAGGAGAGCGTTCTCAACACTGTTAGAGGTCTACGGCACAGAGGGGGGCGACCCCTCAATACAGGAGCAGCTCTCCAGTATGTGAGGGACAACGTCTTCACTGCCTCTTCCGGAAGCAGACGTCAAGAGGGTGTGCCTCAGTTACTGATTTTGTTGAGTGGCGGAAGGTCGTTTGATAACGTTGACATGCCAGCCTCTTCCCTGAAGGAGCTTGGAGTCTTGACCTTTGCTGTAGGATCACGGGGCTCCGATAGTAGAGAATTGCAGAAGATCTCACATGACCCTAGTTCTGCACTCTCAGTGACAGACTTTGCTAATCTCCCCAGTGTCCAAGAGCAGCTTTTCTCCAGAATTAAAACCGTACACGTAGAGACCACAACTGTCTCTCCAACACTGATAGGTAAGACAAAGGGAGTATTATCCATTTGAGTCAGTCTTTTACGGGCCTGATTTTCCTCAAAGCTGTTCCAAATTCTTCCTGGTATGTAGAGAAGTCGAGATATGAAAAAGTATGTAGCATGCAAATTGTGGTGACGTAACGAAACACTACTCTTTTTATGACCAGTGCAAAGAGGAAAATAGTATTGTGAGCTTGTTTACAGTGCTCTGCCTTTTCAATCTCAATTTCTGTAGTTGAGCCTGAAGCACAAAGGAGAGATGTTGTTTTCCTGCTGGATGGGTCAGATGGCACTCGCAGTGGGTTCCCTGCGATGAAGGACTTTGTGCTAAGAGTGATGGAGAAGTTGAATGTGGCTGAGAACAAAGACCGTGTTTCTGTAGTCCAGTTCAGCAGAGATCCTGAGACACATTTCTATCTAAACACGTACACAAGAAAGGATGACATAGTTGACACGGTTAGTGTTCTGAGGCACAAAGGAGGAAGGCCCCTGAACACCGGGGCGGCTCTCCAGTACGTCAGAGACAATGTCTTCACTGCCTCCTCCGGCAGCAGACGACTAGAGGGTGTGCCACAAATACTGATCCTTCTGAGTGGCGGAAGGTCATTTGACAATGTTGATGTCCCGGCCTCTGCTCTGAAGGATCTGGGGGTCTTGATATTCACAATAGGATCACGAGGCTCTGACAGCAGAGAACTGCAGAGGATTTCACATGACCCTAAATACGCTCTGTCTGTGTCCGATTTCACTGAGCTCCCAAATGTCCAGGACCAGCTCGTCAACACTGTAGAGGCTGTTGCCGTTCCCATCACTCCAGCATCACCAACTCCCATCGGTATGACTGTGTGAAAGAATTATATTAAAACGATTAACATAACTGTATTTTTAGGAATTTTTTTTAAATTGAAGCCAGTCTATAAAACAGGCAATGAAAGAAGTGTCTCTGTAGCCTTTAGACCTCAAATTGATGCATCTTAACAAATGGCATTGTTCTCTTTCCAGTTGATTATGACATCACCAGAAAGGATGTTGTTTTCCTGCTGGATGGTTCAGATGGCACTAGGAAAGGATTCCCAGCCATGCTTGACTTTGTGCAAAAAGTAGTTGAAAAACTCAACATAGAGGAGAGCAGGGACCGCGTTTCAGTGGTGCAGTACAGTAGAGATCCTGAGGTCCATTTCTATCTAAATACTTACTCGGGAGAAACAGACGTCCTCGACACCATCAAGACGCTAAGCCACAGAGGTGGCAGACCCCTCAACACCGGGTCAGCTCTGCAGTATGTGAGAGACAATGTCTTCACTGCCTCTGCTGGCAGTAGAAGTCAACAGGGTGTCCCTCAGATTCTCATTTTGCTCAGTGGATCAAGGTCAAACGATAATGTCGATACGCCTGCCTCCGCTTTGAAAGAAAGTGGGGTCTTGATTCTTGGTGTTGGCACCAGGAATTCGAGCAGAGAGATTCAGAGAATTGTCAGTGATCCTTCCTATGCTCAGTCTATTTCTGAGATCTCTGACCTTCCCGCTGTCCAGCAGCAGTTTTTGTCTGCTCTCAGAAGTACAGTTTCATTTGTGACGCCGGTGAAACCTACAGTCATAGGTAAGACAGATTGTCACAGATATTTTCAGGTTGCCCACACAACCTTTGCGGGAAAAGGATAGGTGAATGTGTGCATTCTGAGTTTGAATTAAGTGAGTCAGGTGATTTTGAAAAACGGGCAGTGAAGGTTTATATGACTTTTGTTTTCTTTTTCACTACCTGTAGCTGACAGAAGAATGATCAGGAGGGATGTAGTGTTCCTTTTGGATGGTTCAGATGGCACTAGGGACTCTTTCCCTGCAATGCGTGACTTTGTGCAAAGAATGGTGGACAGGTTGAACGTGTCAGACGGGAGAGACCGTGTGTCGGTAGTCCAGTTCAGCAGAGATCCAGAGGCCCATTTCTATCTTAACACGTACACAACAAAGGAGAGCGTTCTCAACACTGTTAGAGGTCTACGGCACAGAGGGGGGCGACCCCTCAATACAGGAGCAGCTCTCCAGTATGTGAGGGACAACGTCTTCACTGCCTCTTCCGGAAGCAGACGTCAAGAGGGTGTGCCTCAGTTACTGATTTTGTTGAGTGGCGGAAGGTCGTTTGATAACGTTGACATGCCAGCCTCTTCCCTGAAGGAGCTTGGAGTCTTGACCTTTGCTGTAGGATCACGGGGCTCCGATAGTAGAGAATTGCAGAAGATCTCACATGACCCTAGTTCTGCACTCTCAGTGACAGACTTTGCTAATCTCCCCAGTGTCCAAGAGCAGCTTTTCTCCAGAATTAAAACCGTACACGTAGAGACCACAACTGTCTCTCCAACACTGATAGGTAAGACAAAGGGAGTATTAATCCATTTGAGTCAGTCTTTTACGGGCCTGATTTTCCTCAAAGCTGTTCCAAATTCTTCCTGGTATGTAGAGAAGTCGAGATATGAAAAAGTATGTAGCATGCAAATTGTGGTGACGTAACGAAACACTACTCTTTTTATGACCAGTGCAAAGAGGAAAATAGTATTGTGAGCTTGTTTACAGTGCTCTGCCTTTTCAATCTCAATTTCTGTAGTTGAGCCTGAAGCACAAAGGAGAGATGTTGTTTTCCTGCTGGATGGGTCAGATGGCACTCGCAGTGGGTTCCCTGCGATGAAGGACTTTGTGCTAAGAGTGATGGAGAAGTTGAATGTGGCTGAGAACAAAGACCGTGTTTCTGTAGTCCAGTTCAGCAGAGATCCTGAGACACATTTCTATCTAAACACGTACACAAGAAAGGATGACATAGTTGACACGGTTAGTGTTCTGAGGCACAAAGGAGGAAGGCCCCTGAACACCGGGGCGGCTCTCCAGTACGTCAGAGACAATGTCTTCACTGCCTCCTCCGGCAGCAGACGACTAGAGGGTGTGCCACAAATACTGATCCTTCTGAGTGGCGGAAGGTCATTTGACAATGTTGATGTCCCGGCCTCTGCTCTGAAGGATCTGGGGGTCTTGATATTCACAATAGGATCACGAGGCTCTGACAGCAGAGAACTGCAGAGGATTTCACATGACCCTAAATACGCTCTGTCTGTGTCCGATTTCACTGAGCTCCCAAATGTCCAGGACCAGCTCGTCAACACTGTAGAGGCTGTTGCCATTCCCATCACTCCAGCATCACCAACTCCCATCGGTATGACTGTGTGAAAGAATTATATTAAAACGATTAACATAACTGTATTTTTAGGAATTTTTTTTAAATTGAAGCCAGTCAATAAAACAGGCAATGAAAGAAGTGTCTCTGTAGCCTTTAGACCTCAAATTGATGCATCTTAACAAATGGCATTGTTCTCTTTCCAGTTGATTATGACATCACCAGAAAGGATGTTGTTTTCCTGCTGGATGGTTCAGATGGCACTAGGAAAGGATTCCCAGCCATGCTTGACTTTGTGCAAAAAGTAGTTGAAAAACTCAACATAGAGGAGAGCAGGGACCGCGTTTCAGTGGTGCAGTACAGTAGAGATCCTGAGGTCCATTTCTATCTAAATACTTACTCGGGAGAAACAGACGTCCTCGACACCATCAAGACGCTAAGCCACAGAGGTGGCAGACCCCTCAACACCGGGTCAGCTCTGCAGTATGTGAGAGACAATGTCTTCACTGCCTCTGCTGGCAGTAGAAGTCAACAGGGTGTCCCTCAGATTCTCATTTTGCTCAGTGGATCAAGGTCAAACGATAATGTCGATACGCCTGCCTCCGCTTTGAAAGAAAGTGGGGTCTTGATTCTTGGTGTTGGCACCAGGAATTCGAGCAGAGAGATTCAGAGAATTGTCAGTGATCCTTCCTATGCTCAGTCTATTTCTGAGATCTCTGACCTTCCCGCTGTCCAGCAGCAGTTTTTGTCTGCTCTCAGAAGTACAGTTTCATTTGTGACGCCGGTGAAACCTACAGTCATAGGTAAGACAGATTGTCACAGATATTTTCAGGTTGCCCACACAACCTTTGCGGGAAAAGGATAGGTGAATGTGTGCATTCTGAGTTTGAATTAAGTGAGTCAGGTGATTTTGAAAAACGGGCAGTGAAGGTTTATATGACTTTTATTTTCTTTTTCACTACCTGTAGCTGACAGAAGAATGATCAGGAGGGATGTAGTGTTCCTTTTGGATGGTTCAGATGGCACTAGGGACTCTTTCCCTGCAATGCGTGACTTTGTGCAAAGAATGGTGGACAGGTTGAACGTGTCAGACGGGAGAGACCGTGTGTCGGTAGTCCAGTTCAGCAGAGATCCAGAGGCCCATTTCTATCTTAACACGTACACAACAAAGGAGAGCGTTCTCAACACTGTTAGAGGTCTACGGCACAGAGGGGGGCGACCCCTCAATACAGGAGCAGCTCTCCAGTATGTGAGGGACAACGTCTTCACTGCCTCTTCCGGAAGCAGACGTCAAGAGGGTGTGCCTCAGTTACTGATTTTGTTGAGTGGCGGAAGGTCGTTTGATAACGTTGACATGCCAGCCTCTTCCCTGAAGGAGCTTGGAGTCTTGACCTTTGCTGTAGGATCACGGGGCTCCGATAGTAGAGAATTGCAGAAGATCTCACATGACCCTAGTTCTGCACTCTCAGTGACAGACTTTGCTAATCTCCCCAGTGTCCAAGAGCAGCTTTTCTCCAGAATTAAAACCGTACACGTAGAGACCACAACTGTCTCTCCAACACTGATAGGTAAGACAAAGGGAGTATTAATCCATTTGAGTCAGTCTTTTACGGGCCTGATTTTCCTCAAAGCTGTTCCAAATTCTTCCTGGTATGTAGAGAAGTCGAGATATGAAAAAGTATGTAGCATGCAAATTGTGGTGACGTAACGAAACACTACTCTTTTTATGACCAGTGCAAAGAGGAAAATAGTATTGTGAGCTTGTTTACAGTGCTCTGCCTTTTCAATCTCAATTTCTGTAGTTGAGCCTGAAGCACAAAGGAGAGATGTTGTTTTCCTGCTGGATGGGTCAGATGGCACTCGCAGTGGGTTCCCTGCGATGAAGGACTTTGTGCTAAGAGTGATGGAGAAGTTGAATGTGGCTGAGAACAAAGACCGTGTTTCTGTAGTCCAGTTCAGCAGAGATCCTGAGACACATTTCTATCTAAACACGTACACAAGAAAGGATGACATAGTTGACACGGTTAGTGATCTGAGGCACAAAGGAGGAAGACCCCTGAACACCGGGGCGGCTCTCCAGTACGTCAGAGACAATGTCTTCACTGCCTCCTCCGGCAGCAGACGACTAGAGGGTGTGCCACAAATACTGATCCTTCTGAGTGGCGGAAGGTCATTTGACAATGTTGATGTCCCGGCCTCTGCTCTGAAGGATCTGGGGGTCTTGATATTCACAATAGGATCACGAGGCTCTGACAGCAGAGAACTGCAGAGGATTTCACATGACCCTAAATACGCTCTGTCTGTGTCCGATTTCACTGAGCTCCCAAATGTCCAGGACCAGCTCGTCAACACTGTAGAGGCTGTTGCCATTCCCATCACTCCAGCATCACCAACTCCCATCGGTATGACTGTGTGAAAGAATTATATTAAAACGATTAACATAACTGTATTTTTAGGAATTTTTTTTAAATTGAAGCCAGTGTATAAAACAGGCAATGAAAGAAGTGTCTCTGTAGCCTTTAGACCTCAAATTGATGCATCTTAACAAATGGCATTGTTCTCTTTCCAGTTGATTATGACATCACCAGAAAGGATGTTGTTTTCCTGCTGGATGGTTCAGATGGCACTAGGAAAGGATTCCCAGCCATGCTTGACTTTGTACAAAAAGTAGTTGAAAAACTCAGCATAGAGGAGAGCAGGGACCGCGTTTCAGTGGTGCAGTACAGTAGAGATCCTGAGGTCCATTTCTATCTAAATACTTACTCGGGAGAAACAGACGTCCTCGACACCATCGAGACGCTAAGCCACAGAGGTGGCAGACCCCTCAACACCGGGTCAGCTCTGCAGTATGTGAGAGACAATGTCTTCACTGCCTCTGCTGGCAGTAGAAGTCAACAGGGTGTCCCTCAGATTCTCATTTTGCTCAGTGGATCAAGGTCAAACGATAATGTCGATACGCCTGCCTCCGCTTTGAAAGAAAGTGGGGTCTTGATTCTTGGTGTTGGCACCAGGAATTCGAGCAGAGAGATTCAGAGAGTTGTCAGTGATCCTTCCTATGCTCAGTCTATTTCTGAGATCTCTGACCTTCCCGCTGTCCAGCAGCAGTTTTTGTCTGCTCTCAGAAGTACAGTTTCATTTGTGACGCCGGTGAAACCTACAGTCATAGGTAAGACAGATTGTCACAGATATTTTCAGGTTGCCCACACAACCATTGCGGGAAAAGGATAGGTGATTGTGTGCATTCTGAGTTTGAATTAAGTGAGTCAGGTGATTTTGAAAAACGGGCAGTGAAGGTTTATATGACTTTTATTTTCTTTTTCACTACCTGTAGCTGACAGAAGAATGATCAGGAGGGATGTAGTGTTCCTTTTGGATGGTTCAGATGGCACTAGGAAAGGATTCCCAGCCATGCTTGACTTTGTACAAAAAGTAGTTGAAAAACTCAGCATAGAGGAGAGCAGGGACCGCGTTTCAGTGGTGCAGTACAGTAGAGATCCTGAGGTCCATTTCTATCTAAATACTTACTCGGAAGAGACAGACGTCCTCGACACCATCAAGACGCTAAGGCACAGAGGTGGCAGACCCCTCAACACTGGGTCAGCTCTGCAGTATGTGAGAGACAATGTCTTCACTGCCTCTGCTGGCAGTAGAAGTCAACAGGGTGTCCCTCAGATTCTCATTTTGATCAGTGGATCAAGGTCAAATGATAATGTCGATACGCCTGCCTCTGCTTTGAAAGAAAGTGGGGTCTTGATTCTTGGTGTTGGCACCAGGAATTCGAGCAGAGAGATTCAGAGAGTTGTCAGTGATCCTTCCTATGCTCAGTCTATTTCTGAGATCTCTGACCTTCCCGCTGTCCAGCAGCAGTTTTTGTCTGCTCTCAGAAGTACAGTTTCATTTGTGACGCCGGTGAAACCTACAGTCATAGGTAAGACAGATGGTCACAGATATTTTCAGGTTGCCCACACAACATTGTATCTTAATGCACTCCAGCATCATCAACTCCTACTGGTCTTCTTATGTGAATGAATCATATTAATACATTTAAGAGCACCATCCTTCTTTTCTTTTTTAATATAAAGTTCATTAAGTGGACAACTAAACTATTTCTATAGATCAGTGTAGTTGTGTCGTCATTTTTAGTTGGCGCTATGTTTTTATGCCCATATTAGGAACTCCAGGTCTAAGTTCTATTTCTCTATGGCCACAATGAATAGGGTTTTCGAAAAATCGCCTTTATCACCCCCGTGTTAAATAAATTAATAAAATAAAATAAATAAAAATGTTCAGAACCTGATACGTTTTGTCCTGTGAATATTTTTCTCTTGAATACAACTGGATCCTTTTTGCTGTTTCACTGAACTAACAGGTCAGTATTTTGTCTCGTTTGCTAACGTTTGTGATATCTAGTCACAGCTGCTGCACCATGTAAGGTGGAACGGGAACATTTAAACAATTAGCTGGCAAAAAAAGATTAATTCAGCCTCGTAGTTTTAACACGGGTAGTATTTTTAAGGAGTTTCAGCCTATCAAAATATACCGCCCAGAGGTTTTATTTATGGGTATACCTTTAATTATGCACTATGGTAGAACATTTTGATAAGGTAGCACAGCTCATCAGAGCATCGACACAGCCCGCCTTAGTTTTGTGTAGCTTTGTGACATCAAATTGATGCGCAGTAGCTTTAGCTCACATGTAGAAATATTAGTATTATAGTTCTTTATGACCTGGTAATTCAGAGGATCCAGTGGTATTCAGGAGAAAAATATACGTAGGGCAAAACGTATCGGGTTCTGAACATTTTTATTTAACACACGGGGCGAGGCAATTTTTCGAAAACCCTATTCATTGTGGCCGTAGAGAAATGGGGCTTAGACCCGGAGTTCCTAATATGGGCTTAACGAGGACTACAGAATGACTACAGTGGTCTATAGCATTTAGACCTCAAACTCATGCAAGGTAATACATGACACTGTTCTCTTTATTTAATTATCATATATTATTCATTCTTACATCAGACGTACAGTGACAGATAAGTAGGACTAGGCAATATGACAATATTTATCGTTAACATTACAAACTATATCAATTCTGCTTTTCTGAGCATATTGTGCAAGTCGTCAGTAATTAAAAATCACATTCCAATTGCATTTTAGGTTAAAACCAGAGCATAAATAGTTTTATTTACCTGGATTTAGTGCAGCACAGGGTGTGACACTGAATACTAGTAATTGGATTTTTTAGTATTCTTGAAGTACTGGCACTACTTTGTCTGTTCTAACTTAGTATATGTCAGAAAATATAAATATCCTGACACGTGTATTGTAAAAAGCTTTCTAAAGTTTTGTGACATTACATTTTGCTATACTGCCCACCTCTATAAGTAAGACAACTGGTGTCCAATATTTTCAAATCGTCCATGCCATTTTTCTTCTAATCACAAAAGTGATAAATCAGCTGCGGGTGCTTTTTCTCACACAAAACGCATTCGGCTATTATAAATGTTTAGTAGTTATGACCCATAGTGCCTAATTTGCATGTGGACTGACAATAAACCACTACTTATGATTCCTTTCATTATAATCAATTTTCATTTTACTTACATTCTTAAAATACAACCCCAATTCCAAAAAAATTGGGACGCTGTGCAAAATGTAAAGAATTGTAAATAAAAACAGAATGCAATGATTTGCAAATCTCATAGACCGATCTTTTATTCACAATAGACCACAGAACACATATCAGATGTTGAGAGTGAGACATTTTACCATTTCACAAAAATTATTAACTCATTTAGAACCTAAACTGTTTGTTTTCATGATAAAGTCATGCCCAAAGTTGGTCCTGGAGATCTACCACTTTAAAGAGGTTAGGTCTAACACACCAATCTTCAGATGTCCCTAAAGGCCTTCGTTGCCTGAATGACATGTTAAATTAGGGTTGGAGCTACACTCTTCAGGGTGGTAAAGCTCCAGGACCAGTATTGGACAACTGTACCACAAGACAACCCAAATTTACTCAAATTTTATTATTATTATTTTTTTTAAATAAACAGTTTCAGGTACCAAAATTCATTTAAAAAAGTGGGCTCTTCAATACAGTTAACATAGTACACTTTACCCATTGTGTTATTTCAACTAGTGATTTCAAGGCTGTCAATATTTTAAATTACTAAAGCTTTTACATGAACTACCAAACCACAGCAAGAACAAAGTCAACTTGCAAGTTTCTGACCAGAAACACAAGTGTGCTTATTTCTTCCATTTTAAGCAGGCTTTTCTGTGGCAATATCACATTACCTGCTGTGCTGAAATGGGTTATTGTAAAAAGATGGAATATCACTTGACAGGCTCTTAGGCCTGTCAATCGGGGCTAAGATTGTCCAGAACAAAAAGGAGTGTCTTACTCCTATGCACACTGCAAATGCACTGGGACAATGTGCTAATGCATTAAAGAGAAACAGCATATTACAGATTTTGCTCTGTCCTGCTGTATGTCTTTCTAGCACATATTTGGTAGTCGTGCACATACCCAGCCATGTCCGCCTCTTCACAGAACTCACTGTCAAACACTGTTTGAAAGTTCCCTTGAATTTCACCACTGTTTCATTCACAGGTTGTTGTACGAAGCACTACAATCCCATTACCATGTTGTCATTAACATGATTGGTTTCTATCTAACATACAGATTACATAGAAACCAACTAAACCTATTGACAAAGAGGAAATGTATGAGATTCCCATCTCTGCGTGAGAGCAATAGTAATCTTGATATTCTTTCCAGGTAGCAAGCAGGAAGGTTTTTCCAGCTTGGGTGGCATGCAGATTGCTATTTGCTCAAAAAGGTCTTCATCAAACAACCACATGAAAAGTCCAATGGACTTCTCAGTTCATCAATGTTAAATTAGTTGCCCGCAAGCTCAAGATATTTAGGACTAAAAATACTCAAAACATCTTTCTTCCATTTGATTGACAGCCTTTGTGTTGAACATAATGATCTTGTTCTTAGTTTGTATAGTGTAGGTAACTCAGTAACTCAGTAACTCAGCCTTACATGAGCAAGCCCAAGACAACACTAACTCAGAGCACTCAGAAACTGGGGATGGGCTTTGTTATTCAAACATACAGAGTATTCAGGGTTAAAAAAAGGAAACCATAGTAAATATCAACAGTGGGAGGAGCAAAGTACATGTACAAGTACATGGGTGTGCTTAAGTACTTTTTAAAAATATCAGACATTTGCCTTCATTACAGTGCATTGCAAAGGAAAATATCCACTCCACTACTTTCTATGTGAAAAGCAAGAGATACAAGTTTTTATTCCTTTTTTATTATAAGCCACAATTTTTTTGTGTTTTGGTCGACTAATGGTTAAATATAGTTAATACATCTAACATTTCTCATTTTGGAAATGTTGTAAGCTTATTATACATTTATTTAACTAATTTCTAGAAATTCTTTACTTGTTTCAAGTGATTTCAGTGAGTCGAATTATCTCACTGTATTGACAGATAATTTTGTTAAAAAGTATACTTGAAACCAACAAAATTATCTACTATTATAATAAATAATTTCACTTGACAAAATGACTTACAGTGACCAAAATTCCTAAAAATAAGTGAAATAATCAATTCTAGTCAATTCTCAAAATGAGAATACTAGTCTTAAGAAAATTTTACTTGAGTATTTTGCAGTGCTGGTGTTTCCTAGTGCAATGTGTTTCCTGCTACAGTGTTTGACCTATGCTTAGTAAATGCCTCAGTTAATATAATCATTATATCATCTTTATATTCTATATCTGTAAAAAAGCTTAATATGACAAAAGATATTCAAGGAAATGTGAGGGGGAATGAACATTTAATGTGAGAAAGAGGTCAGGAATCCATGAGAGACAGAGAAAGTTTATCTGTGAGAGTGAAGCTGCTCGAGAGATGGTGAAGGTTTTTTCTGCGAGAGCAAGGTTCAGCCCACCCTCAAATTTGTTGTGCCCACCCAAAATGGTAGACATGGCGCCGCTTCTGGGTGTAGCACTGTCAGAATCCTCACCTGTCTGCACTTGATAGTGAAAATAGGTAAGGGTAGTGTTTTCTTAGTTTCAACTTTGAGAAGCTGCATTCTCCTGAAGCCACTTAACCCAGGGATGGTCAGAAGCTCTCATAATGCTATAAAAGCACTGGGAAAAACAGATTCCATCCCACTGTCTCAGGTGAACTTGAGTGTGTCTTGTTCCAGCTACTAGACATCTACTCAAAGCAGTCAACTCCACACAAAGTTCTTCCCTATCCACATCTCTGCAGTGGTTGTTTGTCAGGGCTCTCTCCAGTGCTGTGCACTCTTGGAGAAGGTCCATAACATTTTTTTCTTGATGGATACAATGTCATATAACACCCCAAATATGTGGGGTGTTGTGCTCCCCTGTGCTCCTGGAGGTAAGAAAGCCGCTCTTCCACAGCATTGATGGCACAGTCCAGTATTTTGTTGAAGAAAAACACTTAGTAATGCTGTTGTGGAATGATCACTGCCTCATCGTCATAGTGAAACATTCATTTCCTCTTTCATCGTCACACTTTGTGGAGGAAAGCAGGCCTCTGTTTTCAAATCCTTCACCTCCATTGGACAGCACACTCAAAATTGCTGTCTGTCTGATAGTCCAGCAGGATTTGTTTTGTCACGTTCAGCTGCTTCACTGCAACAGGTACATCTACAGATTCGTCGCCTGCAGTGTTTTGCTGGTAATTTAATAATTTATCACTTTCAAAATGTCATAGCACTTTATGATGGAGCACATGAATGGGTAGGTTTTGATCTTCGGTGCAATGCCTTTGACTTCTAGTCATCTAGTTTTAGCTCCACAAGCACCTGTTAGACTTTCGTCTTCTGCCACTGACGGCAGCGCATCATAAACATCTCCTAACTGGTCTCGGATGGGTTTGAGCACATCCACCTGACTTTCCCATCTCATGGCCAAGTTTACCTACATGCTGTTTTAACACATCCCAGCAAGACATGGAAGCAGACAAAAAGACATAAATCTCTTGGATTGTTGTAAAGTCCACTGCCTGCAGACAGCATGAGGCTGTATCATTACCTTCCAAATTAAAAGAGTGGGAACTTCAAGGCCCATAAAATGTCCTTGGGTTTATGTCTCGCACTCTTTAGTGCACACCACTACGTTTACCTCTCATATTTGATCCACTGTCATAGCCTTGACCTCTCATGTCCATAATGTTTGATATCCAGCTTCCCAAGTTTCTTAATAAGAACATCAGTCATGCCAGCACCTGTACAATCAGTTATCTCTGGGAATTCCAAGAAATGCTTCCTCCCTGTGTTGTAACAAAATGTACGATCACAGTCATCTATTCTGTTTTACTTACATCAGGAGTACAACCTAAAATTATGGAGTAGTATTTAGCTGACCTCAGCATCATAAGACTTTCCTGCTGCATCTGAGAAGCTAGCATTGCTATGGTTTCATTTTGTATGTTTTTACCTAAATAATGAACATACGTTCTTCTGAAGTTACTTTCCTAATGTGTTCAGCCATAATGCTGTCAAAAAAACACTCCACATCTCCACTAGTTACACTCAAACTATCTGTGCTGCCACGGAATGCCAGGTTTAGCATAGCCAGCACTTTGATAAGACTAATCAACCGCTGCAACAGCTTTTGCCAATGCATTCTCGGCAGCCAAATTTTGTGGATCTATTGTGTTTTGCAAGGCTAATCTAATGTCTAACTCCATTTATAAAAACTTTCTATATGTTCAGTTGATTTTTCATGGGTGTTAAAGATGCTTGACATATTTTCCAGTCTCTAACACGGTTGGTTGTTTTGTAAAAATGTGTGAAAAATTGTTGAGTGTGGTCTATTAGCCTATAATTAGATTGAATTATACAAGTCTCATGGCTAATGCATTTGATCCTTAAGTACATTTTAAAGCAAATACTTTTGAACTTTTTTATACTCTTCCAATAATATTCAGGGTTAGGGTTTAAAGGAGTCATGGATTCAGTAGCATTCTTCAAGGGCCATGCAAAATATATTTTAATGCACTGCTTAAGCTAGAATTCCTGAATGCTGATGCTAAATTAGATGTAAGGTTGCACTTTGTTAGCTGCAGATGAGCTATGCAAAGTAATCACCTGTCCATCCAATACAGAGCAAAGTCAGTGTCACTCTTCAGTCCCTTCAGCTCTCCTTTCTCTCGCCACACCAGTATTAACTTGTCTTGGTCATTTTCTTTTCTTTTGCCTGATTGATTCTGATTGTAGCTACCATTTCAGTAGAACATAGCTGAGCACTAAAGCCTCACAATGTCCCAATTTTTTTTTTACTTCAGTGAAGTGTCCTGGCTGTGAGTGTGTCTCATGGGTTTTCACACTCTTTTTTCACACATGCTGCACAGTATTATCACAACAGCAGCCAACACTGGAATCAGCCCAGCGGTGGACCCTGTCCATTTAAGGGGTTATTAGTTAAAGAAAGTTTCCATTTTTAATATTTTAAAGGTTTTGTTGTGACACCACCGATACATAGAACTGTAGAAACAGTGGTTTTCCTTTACTAAGCACTGCATCTGCTGTAAATGACCACTTGCTGCAATTATACTGTGTTCAATGTTTGGTCTGTAAGGGGAAATACACAATCCAATATGGCTCTTTACAGTATATGAGCAAAAATTTGTATAAATAAATAGTATACATAAGTGAATGCTTTAATTCATGGTGATTGATTTTAATTTATGATGCACATGATCTCAATGCAAGAAGTTTTTAGAAATTTGGCATGCATGTAAAAAAGACAGAGATGTCCATGAAATAAGGGCTCAACTTAAAGGGGCACTAAAAATTGATGGATATATTTTTGTTTATTTTAATTGCAGCAGAGTCCCAGGGTCCTAAGAAGGATATTGTCTTTGTGATTGATGGATCTGACGGTGTTGGGAGAGAGTTCCCCATCATCCAGGAGTTTGTTCGCAGAGTTGTGGAGAACCTAAATGTTGGCGAAAACAAGATCCGTGTAGGCGTAGTGCAGTATGGAGACACTCCACGTCCAGATATATACCTCAACTCACACAAGACCAAAGAAGGTGTTCTAACTGCTATCAAAGAACTCAGGCAACAAGGGGGAAGACAGCGCAATCTCGGAGCAACCATGACTTTTGTCATTCGTGAAGTCCTGGATTCAAGACGTGGTGGCAGGAAACAGGAGGGTGTCCCACAGTTCCTGGTAGTAATCTCAGGAGGAAGAGCAACAGATAATATAAGAACACCAGCAAATACTCTGAAACAGACAGGAATTGTGCCTTTTAGTATTGGAACACGGGATGTTGATCCTCGAGAGCTGCAGGTGATCTCCTATGTTCCCAATTTTGCCTACACCGTGGATGATTTGCCTGGCCTTTACACTGTCCAAGACGAACTTATCACCACAGTAACAGAGTTGTCAAATGAAGAACTGGCCAGATTGCAACCTGTTTACCCCACTGTGCCAGGTAATTACACAGTTATGGTACCACACCTCTATTTTATCCCAGAAAGGCTATTGTCTGTGTGTGTATGGCTGCATATATATAAATCTTTGTCTTACATGGTGCTTAGGATTTACACACTATGAACAGCAGGTCAAATATTTATTTTACAAAAAAGTTTTTCATATCTGCTGTTAGAACACTGAACTATACGAGCACAGATGTAAAGATGTCATTTTTAGTGACATATGCTGAATATAATCTCTAAGTTCTTTATTCGTCAAATACAATTTTTTCTCATCATATTTGTTTGTCCTTTGTGTCGTCACAGTAGTACCACCACCATCAACTGGAGAAAAGAAGGACGTTGTCTTCCTTGTTGATGGAACAACTACGATGCGCAGTGAATTCCCAGCTATACGAGACATGATTCAGAGGGTTGTGGAGAAGCTAGATGTTGGTTTAGACAAGGTGAGAGTTTCAGTGGTGCAATACAGTGAAGATCCCAAACGGGAGTTCCTCCTCAATGAGCACTCTACCAGAGAAGAGGTTCTCCAGGCAGTGAGAAGAATGAGAAGCAAAGGTGGCAAAGTACTGAACACTGGCCAAGCACTGAACTGGGTCTCAAAGAACATCTACCAGAGATCAGCTGGCAGCCGAATCGAAGAGCGGGTACCCCAGTTTCTCATCCTGGTGACTGGAGGAAAGTCACATGATGATGTATCTGAGCCTGCCAAACAACTCAAGTTGAATTTTGTGGCTCCTTTGGCAGTTGGATCAAAGAATGCAGATTCAGAGGAGCTGAAATTGATTTCTCTGGGTTCAGAGCATGCCTACACAATTAGAGACTTCCAGCAGCTGCCATTAGTAGAGCAGCAGCTTTTGGCTACGGTTAACACTATGAATTCTGAAGAAATCATCAGACGTGCATCTACTGTGGATACAGGTACACAAGTGACATGATTCAACTCAATGTTTTATTGATTTAATTGTAAGTAGTCATTATTTGAATGTACGGGAAAAACCTTGCAAAACACCTATGTTTTTGCAAAATGTCAGTTATGGTTCTCTAACTTCTGAGAGACAAACCTCAACAGCGTTTAGAAGTATTTAATGTATTTAATGCATATTTTTGTTATTTTCAGGCCTTAATCTTGGAAAAAAAGACATTATCTTCCTTGTTGATGGATCTGACAATGTTGGACAAAATGGAATTGCACACATCCGTGACTTCATCGTGAAGATTGTCCAGCAGCTCAGTGTGCGGCCTGATCAAGTGCGCGTGGCTTTGGTACAGTATGCAGAGAGACCCAAGACTGAGTTTTCACTCATCGCTCATGACAACAAGCAGTCAGTTGTTTCAGCTGTCAAGAGACTGCGTCATATGGGTGGCCGTGGCGCAAACCTAGCTGAGGCTATTGAGTATGTGATTAGAAATGAGTTGAAGGCATCTGCAGGGGCTCGAGGTTCAGAGGCCTCTCAGCATTTGGTGGTGCTCACTGGTGGAAGGTCCACCTCTGATGTCTCTGCGTATGGCCCACTTCTCAAAAGCGCTGACGTGAACTGTATAGGAATTGGCGCTGGGGCAGCAGATTCAAGGCAACTCAGACAGATTGCAACCACACCAGATGATGTTCTACAAGTACCTACCTTTCCTGCACTTCCAAGCATTCAGGATCCATTCATTGCCAGACTCAATGGATCAATGCCAGTAGAACCTCCCGTTGTTGAGTCCCCCCCAAGTAAGTGGAGCTATGTCGCTAAACAGTGCATGTAACAAATTATATATTAATTTTGAAAGTAATTTTAATGTTTTGTCTTGTTGTCTTCTCCTAGGCCTTCCTCCAGAGGCTAAGATTGCAGACATTGTCTTTTTGGTTGATGGTTCAATAAACCTTGGCAGGGGTAATTTCAAAGAGGTCATGGAGTTTATCATCAACCTCATCGACCTCTTCTTCACAGAGAAAGACAAACTTCGAATTGGTCTGGCGAGCTATGCCGCAGATGTGACCGATGTTTTCTATCTCAATACACATGACAATAAGGACGACATCATCACTGCCATTGGCAAGGCAGAATACAAAGGTGGCAGGGGGGTTAACACTGGCAATGCCATTAAGCACGTTCAGCAAGCACACTTTGTGAAAGACAGAGGTAGTCGGAAGGATGAAGGTGTCCCTCAGATCCTGATGTTGGTCACTGGTGGACGTTCTCAAGATGATGGTAAAGCAGCAGCACTGGGCCTTAAAGCCACAGGTGTGCGCATATATGCCATTGGTGTTGGTGATATTGAGGATGAGCTTAATGACTTAGGCAGTGAGCCAACAACAGTGGCCCGGGCCAGCAACGTCCAAGAGCTTTCTGAGTTAAATGAGCAGATTTTGGAAACACTTGATGATGAAATCACGGGAAAATTGTGTGTAGGAGGGACTGAGCCTGCAAAGGGTGAGACATTCAGTAGAATCATTCAACTACATTTCTTTTTCATTTTTATATCCTTTTTCCTTTAACTACCTAGTGTCACCGTAATGAATTACTTGCTGATTGAACAGCTACTCAAAGATTTGCCCACAAAATGTTTTAAAACCATTTGTTTTCCAACATGGGCAGTTTGCAACTTGGATGTCCTTGTGGGCTTCGACGTATCTTCGCAGAACATCTTTGCGGCTCAGAGATCATTGGAGTCCAAGATGTCTGCAATTCTCCAGCGAATTACCCAGATGCAGGCCATCAGCTGCTCTCCTAGTCAAGCCCCATCAATACAAGTAGGCATATTGGCAATGGACTCTGCCTCTGAGCCTGTTCAGCTGGACTTCACTGGCAGCCACACCCCGCTCATGGAGTCCTTCAGGGCCCTGCGCAGCCGTGGACCCTTCGTCTTGAATGGCAAAACCATTGATGCATATATTGCAAGATTCAGGAACCAACCTTCAGGCAGAGTAAAGGTATGTTTGTTGTCCTCTGCACATTTATCACTTCATTTACCTGCTGCAATGTCACTAGGAGCAATGTTACTGGCAAAGTATTATTTTCTTAGCATAGTTTTTTTTTCCTTCCACTCTGTGTTTCTAATGTACAGCCCATGTGTGCTTTAATATTCATCCACTTCTGTCTGAGAACCCTCAGAATTGCTGTATTATGTAGTATAACATGTAAAGATATAGGCAAATATGACAAATCTATCTAGATAGCTTATGGCAGCAATGTATTGTTTATCAAAAACACCATGAACTGAGCTCACATGTACAGCAGTTACATGCATTTATGCCAGTCATTTATACTACAAACACAGCAGTAACCAAATATCTATTAATTATAACATTGTGGACTGAAACATAATGAACTGAAACACAGGTCACCATCGTGGATAGAATAGAACAACACTTAAATGCCATTTAAACGTATCTTTGGGCTAAGAATAACTTAAAATAAAACCTGATGTAAAATGAACTATAGATGACAAAATAAAAGAAAATTAACAAAAACACACAAAACTGCAAGGGATGCTGGGAACCTCCACCCCCCACTATAATATTCAGAGAGAGGCTGCTCAAGTGTTTCATTGTTTCTTCTTACATAAATTCTTTACAGTGTAATAAAATAATGTTTTGCAGTGGAAAAGTATAAAAAGGAAATCTGTACAGTGCAGGAAACAGATCTTCACTTCATACAACACACTAGTTTGTGCATTCCCATAAGTTTAAAAAAAACTACATTTCATTTCATTTATGTTTGCTTTTTCACACACATAAAGGTTGTAATCCACCTCACTGATGGACTAGATGCCCAGTATAACATCATGAAAGAGCGAGTTGAACAGATGCGGACTGCAGGTAAGACGGGACCCAGTGCTGGGAAATGCTCAAAAAGGGGGGTTTAGATCACCACTTTTAAAATACAAGGCATTCTGGACATTAAAAACACTTTATTGAAAATCAGTATTCCAAACTTTTAAATGGTGGTGTATATTGTTTTCCTCTAGGCATCAATGCCTTCATCTTGGTTGCTCTGGAGAGGGTACCACGGTTTGAGGACGCAGTATTACTGGAATTTGGGCGGGGTTTTAGGTACACACGACCTCTGCGTGTCAACCTAATGGACTTGGACTATGAACTGCTGGAGGAACTGGTAAAAATGACCCATCAAAATTAGATAAAATATTTACTAGAGTTCTTCAAATCTGCAATCATTTTGAATTGTCTCCTGTTTTGTGTAGGACAACATTGCCGAACGAGAGTGCTGCTCTGTGCCTTGCAAGTGCACTGGCCAGAGAGGAGACAGAGGATCAGTCGGTCGTCCTGGACCAAAGGTAACCATATACTCTATTGCAGGGACATGAGTCGCTTGTTTAGAGGTTGTATGCTATGTTAAAATCAATCCAGAGAAGCTTAAAGATGCAGCGTTAATGTATATGTCTGTATTATTTCTAAAAGGGACTACCAGGCGGCCAGGGCTACAGAGGACATCCTGGTGATGAAGGTGGACCTGTGAGTGTTAACATCAATCAGAAAATTAATGTAGCTCAGAATTATAATATATGGCCATTTTTGTTCTTCTTCCTTTTCTTTTTTTTTCTTTTTTCTTTTTAATGTAAAAACACATAAAAAAAAGCATTGTTAATTCCTTTGAAGCCTATGATGTATGTGTATGTGACCAACACTTATTTTTCTCCAAAATATAATCCTACAGGGAGAAAGAGGTCCTCCAGGTGTGAATGGGACTCAAGGTTTCCAAGGATGCCCAGGACCAAGGGGTGTAAAGGTGGGACAGTTATAATGAGCTGTAATGTTTCAGAGTGGCAGCACTTTGTTTTTGTTGTCATAATATGGCCATAAATCAAATGTGTGTTTCTGTCTTTCAGGGTGCACGAGGATACAATGGTGAAAAGGTAAGGACTGTTCTAAAAAGTATAACTTTGTTTATACTGTATGTAGTATATGTGTATGTATACCATATCTATGTGCCTTTTCCCTTCTCTAGGGAGAGACTGGAGAAATTGGTCTGGATGGCATCAACGGGGAGGAGGTAAATTGTCTTGTAATGACTCATTTGGGGCACTGTGGAAAATGAGAGGTCAGCTCAACTAAAAGTGATATAGTAACTAACTACACAGCTTTTCTTGAGTTGACTCAACTTGAGGACACAAGTTCACACAACTCAAACGTCTTAGTTGAGTCAAGAGTTCTCTTAATGTTTTAGCTCTGCTTCTCAGTTTCCCCACTAGTTAGGACTCTCTCCATCACACAATCATGCTGGACATTTTTCCTCTTGGGTACACACTTACGAACGGCTATGGCATCGCTGGGGCTCAAACTCATAACCTCCTGTTGGGGTGACTGCTTAGTCCGCTGCTCCACACAGGATCACATGAAGCGACTCTGATTGTGTCTACAAATGTTTAATGCACTGGAAAAAAGATTTATTGTTTTAACTTTAAAGCACTGTTTCGTCTCATGTGGTGCAACTGTCTAATAATTCATCCCAACATCAGGAGGTTGTGAGTTTGAATCCCAGTAATGCCACAGCTGTCCATATCTGGAAGCCCAAGAGGATTGTTTGCCAGATGGGACTATGTGATAGAAGGAGCACCAGCTAGTGGAGAAACTTAGTAACAAAACACAAATTCAGTTTAATTTATCTAACTGAGATGCAGAGCTAGAAACAGTAGCTGGGAGAATTTTAGATTCAACTAAGAAAACTGAGTTGGGTCGCAACTCTATTGTTCTCAAGTTAACTCAACTCAAGAAAACCCATGTAATCAGTTACTTTATAATTTGAAGTTAAGCAGACTTCTCATTTTTACAGTGGGTAGGAAATGCATTGCTATTCATGTATTAATTGCAATTAGTTAATTGGTCAGTCTTCATATATTCTCTGATTAAAACCTGTGATTTTTCAGGGCACAAGTGGAGTTGCTGGCCCACCAGGAGACAGAGGCAACCCTGGCCGGAGGGTAATTTATTTCATCATAAGGAATTTCTAACTGAATAACGGATTATTAACTGGCTTCTTTAAATGTCTTCTCTTTCACGACTTTTCTGTATGTAGGGTCCTAAAGGTGCCAAAGGCCAGGCAGGAGACGTGGGCCAGACTGGTATCCGTGGAGATCCAGTATGTATTGGCCAGCTTGGCCAGTTTTACAGTAGACTTTGTTATTACCATCATTAGCTTAGTTGCTAAACCTCCCCTCTAAAAAAAACTAACTGCAAACACATTCAGGATGTTTACCAGAAACACAGTTGTGCGCTGAGTAGCACAGCTGATTTTAAGTGATTAACCATCTGCTTGAATTTGCTTTTATGTGTTGAATCAGCTGGGACAGACCCAGAGAAGGTCACTAGGCAGTGTGCAACTACTCAACATTTTGCTAAGGCCATTTGAATAAATTATTTTAGATTTCTATGATAGATTTGTGATTATAAATTGTTCTATGTAACTGTGTTTTTAAATTAAAGCAACATCAACCTGACAGGAGTTAGATTTAACCGTAAAAGAGAGATTTTTTTTTTTTTATCAAAAGCTGTGTTTTTGTTAATTTCAATTAACCGTACTAAAGAATATTATAATTATCATCAAAATGACCAAACTTTGATTTTATTAACAGGCATGCATTTGACATTTCGCTTCATCTTTTGTCTCCTATTTGTAGTTTTCTCTGCTACCCATGTTCTAATAGCACAGGATGCATTATGCACTTTAGATGCTTTGTGATGCTGTAAAATTAAAAACTTTTTATTTTATTGTTTTAGATATTTTGCTGGAAATTCGGTTCAGTAATGTAGTGCAGACTGGATGATTCCTTATCCTGCACAGTTATAACTGGACTGGGAAATGACCGGATTGAACAGACTCTTTGAGGCAATTATTGTGATTGCATTGTTAGTTGAGATTGTCCTCCAAAGACCCTTACTGTGGTGATTGTGGCCTTTTTAAACAGGGTGCTGATGGTAGGAGAGGACAAATGGAAATTCGGTTCAGTAATGTTCAGCATGTTCAATAGGAAACTGTTTACATAAAATTTGTCACATTTCTAAACAGAAACACTTCTGACTTTTGAAGAGTAAATAACTGCAAGCTCAGTCTGACTTTAAATGAAGTCTTTAAGTGATGTTTACTGTGTTTGATAGGGCACAACAGGACAAGACAACAATCAGAGGGGGCCAAAGGGAGATCCAGGAGATGCTGGACCACCGGTAGAACTCCTTATTGCCTACTTATGCAGTTCTTTTTATAATTTATAAATATGTTTGCAACACATTACCTGATCTGATAAAATTGTTGTGAGCCTTGTGGTCAGTTGTACTATAACACTGGTAAAACATTGTTTGACTATAAAGAAATGCTGACAACCAGCTTCTACAGTGTCCCTGCAAAACACACACCAGAACAACACAGACGCAATGTTAGTGCAATGCACAGTGAACGAACGAAACTGGTTTTAAATGATGGAAAATATTGATTGCAAATTTCTAACAATAGTGTAAGAATCTTCTGACCGTTATTTTATCTCTAACAGGGAGAGCCTGGTGAGGACGGTAGGAGAGGAGAGGCAGGAGAACCAGGTAGACAGGTACGTTTTTCCTGAACAAACCGATTATTTCTGCTGCTGCCCTGTTCTGAACAAATATTTCTCTGAATTATTAAGGTAATTTGTGATCTGTCAGTTACTAAATCAGTAGGCTAAAAATCAGTTATGCTAGCTGTCAAATTCAGTAAATACCCGTTGATTTGGGACAGACTTACTGTTTGAAAAAGTGTTCGATTTAGCATTCTTAGTATTTACCATGTTAAAACATCACAAAATAACAGCAATGAACCCAAAAGTACTTACATGATTGTGAAAATCAGCAGAACTATACGAGGAGGGTGTGTGGCTTAAACATGCAGTGGAAAAAAAATGAATGAATTAGAGGGGCGTGGTGTGAGAATGTGTAACTGTACTGAGGTAATTTCTCACCGTAGTTCATCACATCGGATAGTTTAAGGTACTTCATGAAGTTTTAATACCAAACAGTTTACAGTTCTATCAAATTACAGCAGCAGAGCTCAGCTCTTTGTGCCGCTGAGACAAACCAAACATGCTAAAGCTTCGCTCTGTATCGTTCCGCCCTGGTTTAAGCTCTAAATTGCTAGAGTGGGAGTCAGCACATGCTAGTGACAGTTAAAGGAATATTTTTTAATTGTAGTTGGACTCGTTTGCAACCAGAAAATAAATTTGCTGAGACCAGTGGCCAAAACCATGACAAGTGTGAGTTTAAAAACTAGCTCTGCCAGAAAAGGAGAGAGGTCAACCACTGGTCTGAGAAAAAAAAGTCTTGAGTCCAGACTCGAGTACTAAAGCCAAAATCACTGTACGTTTATGGATATAGGGTTTGGGAATGTACGTCACGTTGTGCTACATTATGGGATTGTTCCCCCATGTGCTGCAAATACTCACTTATACTGCAGGAGCTTAACTTCGGAGGTTGTGAGTAATCTTCTGAGATGATTTGAACTGGGAATAATGCTTTTTTGTTTATTTTTGTTTTTCTGTCATTAAAGATTGTATGTTTATTTTATTTTACTTTAACAAAATATCACACACTATCCAGTCTTGTCCAGCCCACAAAACTGTTTTAATTTTCTATTAATATTTGCCCGTTTCACAACGTGCTGCACTACAGTCCCCAGCATGCACTGCAATATAATGTGCACTGCTATTCCTCTGCCCCAGCAACAACCTATAGTACAGTTACACCACAATTCTACAGAATTCTACACAATTTTAAATCAGTCATTTTGTTTCTGAAGTTTAACCACCAGAAACACTATACACACTATAAACGGGTCAGAAACTGATCACAAGAATTAATAAACTTGCAGAAAAGAAAAGAAGCCAGGTGTGTAGATCAACACAGGTAGGTTTAAAAGACCTACATCCTAGGGACATTTAAAGAGATTTAACAGTTGTCTGTAGCTAAAACAGCCTCTCTCTCTATATACATATACACACACACACACACAAACACACACACACACACACACACACACACATATATATATTTGTTATTATTTAATATGGCCCTTTCAGTGTTTGAGTTTGACACTGCTACAGTTACACTATTAATGTAGTGCAGACTGGATGATTCCTTATCCTGCACAGTTATAACTGGACTGGGAAATGACCGGATTGAACAGACTCTTTGAGGCAATTATTGTGATTGCATTGTTAGTTGAGATTGTCCTCCAAAGACCCTTACTGTGGTGATTGTGGCCTTTTTAAACAGGGTGCTGATGGTAGGAGAGGACCACCTGGACAAGCTGTGAGTAGGCTCTGTCTTTATTTCACTGTCTGTAATCAATTAATTTACCATTTTTCAAAAATGTGTTCTGTAAGTACAACGACCATTAATGTTATTATTTTTGTGCTTGACATTGAACATTTCTGTCCTCCAGGGTCCTCCTGGAAGGCCTGGTGAAAACGGTCTCCCAGGACAACCTGGAATTGGAGGGTCTCGGGTGAGTTTTCAGTAGTTTTTCTTGCAATGCAAGATAAATGAGAAGTACAATATATTAATGTAATTTATGCATTAGTACAAAAAAGCAAATGCAATATAATTTTTCAAAATCAGATTTATTTTTTTTTCCCTGCAAGATAAACACATATTGAGCTTTTCTAATCCTTATAGAATATTATATAGAAGACAGCATTTGTTAGAATTTTTTTAAATGAAACAGTATTAGTTGTAGCCCTATATATTAATTATGTTTGTGTCTTTTTAGGGTCCCAGTGGACCAATTGGAACACCAGGAACCAGGGGAGAGGATGGTAACCCTGGCCCGAGAGTAAGAGCCTTACTTCTATAACGAATCTTCAATATGTATATTAATTGTAAGACTATCAAAACATTAGCTCATGTTAGCTCAAACAGATGCTTAACATGCTCATTTCTCTTTTGTATATAAATAGCATCTCTCAGGAGTCATTTTTCTCTTTTATATACTTAGCTGTATATAGATAGGCTGTCTATTTATTAGCTCTGTCTTTTATTTAATTAGTTTTAGGTTTTATTGTTGATAGTGATGACCAGAAATATGAGTTTTTAGGGATAAGAACATACATTTATCCTCAAAAGCCAGTTACTTGTAAATGTAAATGATCCAGTGACTGTATGTACAATTAAAGCAGTTGATTTATTGTCCTGTTTCCTGATGATATTTAAATCATTTGTTCCATTTAGTATAATAATATTTTTTTTAGTATTTTTCCTTGAGACAATTTGCTTGTCAGACTTCAAATAAGCCACTAATACAATGACAGCATATATTTAATATGCTCATTTCCTGTAGTACCTGTCAATAACCTTGCTGCTGAATTTTCGTGCCTTTTAAGGTTTTTGGCTTCTGGTTTATGGAAGGAAACCCTTTCAGTGTTTTAAAAAAGTCAGTGTTTTTCTGAAAGTTTTTGCAACGTTAAAATCAACTGTAGTTTTAAACAGTTTGAGGACAAAATTAGATACAGAAGAAATGGAAAGCACTGAGAATGGAAGGCAATGTCAGAAGGCGTGCACTGGAAACAGATGAGCTGAATAATTTAACGTGCGACAGGTTTTGGGCTTGTCTCTCTGAAGATTTGCTCCATAAATCAGTCAGGTTTTATTATATAAAAAGCAATAAACACATAGACACTAGTTTCCCTAAAACAAGACACATCGCACGTCCGAAATGGTCCCCTAATCACTAAACCTGCATTCAACAGTCTGGATCACTATATAGATCAGTACTGTAGGGAGCAGAATTTGTGATGGTAGTAAGCAGTTTCAGACACTAATGTTATACAGGTTTGCTCATTACTTATACACAAAAGCAGTGCATTATGAGTACCCCCTGTCTGCTAGGGTACATCGCTTATTTTTGCAGTGCATTGTGGGATTGTTTGAGTGCACTGGATATTCTGCACTATATTTTCAGACACCAATACAAAATGGTGGCACCCCAAAATAGTGTGCTACATAGTGAATAGGGCACAGTTTCGGACACAGCTATTGTAAATATCCACTTGCAATATTTGTCACCACATTCCACCGTGACGGATCTCGCTGGATTGCACGGGGGGTGTGATGGAAATAAAGAAAAAGAACAGATATCAGAGAAGTCTGGGGAAGTAAACAAGCTGATATGCCGTTTGCTATTTCTCACAATGAGGCAAGACCAGCACTGCATTCTTATTACTCATATTACAGTGCTTACAAGGTGTTACTGGCTTGCAATAGTGGGTTAAAAACATCATCTGTGAAAGTATTTTGGCTTATGATCACTATATGCACTACTAGTTATGATGCGCTCCGTCCTAATAGAGATTTCTCTCCTATATAATAATGAAGTGCAGAGTGGCGAACGTGGAAGTGGATACATGTTGTTATGTTAGAGTGTTCGACACCTAAATGCAACAAAATGAACAATTCTCTTTTGTTCTTTAGGGCGCTGGAGGAGCCCAAGGGACTTCTGGAGAGAAGGGCAGACGAGGGCCTGTTGGTCGCAAGGTGTGTCACATATCTGAAAATGGCTTCAGTGTCTTTTCTGTTATACGTGATTATATTCTTCATTCTTCATATTTGCACCTGATATCTCTTCTACTAATTGCTATGTATAAGCTGTGGCAGAATGCCTGTTTGTGATTCAGCAATATCAGACTTTGATTTGACCCCTTAAATGGCTGATGGGCCCAAAGATTTATTACACACTTCTATAATCTAAGAACAGCTGAGCCAGTTTGCACTGACGTCCCTGTAGTTACTAAGACTGGAATTTTAAGGGGTTAAGATGTTTGTTGAAATGTAGTCATTCTCCCTAAATCTCTCTGTAGGGTGAACCCGGTGACCCGGGACCAAAAGGCGCTGTGGGACCACTGGGACCCAGAGGAGAACCTGTAAGTTGAAAGTTAAGATGTGCACAGCATGCCTAGTCCTGATATATATCACGTTCACATACAGGTGGGCAATCTGATGATATGCTATTAATAATTATATCATGGATATTATTGGTATAAGTGACTAATTGGTAGTATTTCAATGACGTCACAATTGCGCTGGCGCCATTTTGGTAGCAACATCAAGTTCACTTAGCAGTGCTGTGGCTGTAATGAGATAAAGACATAACTGATCCAGCAAAGGCAGTAAAACACATTTGTTTTTGATCACTTTTTAAATCTCATTTTTAAAGCGTATTAACTGATATATTTGAGTGTACTGACTTGATTTTATTTGATTTGTTGATTTCCCGCTGTGTTACTAGTGCCCCGTCCCAAACCACATACTAGCTCACTAAATAGTGTATAGTAAGTAGCGCATATCCCATTATAAGTGCACTCATTAGTGCAATAGGTGAAGTACAGAAGTGTGTGTTTGGGACACAGCGTTAGATCAGCCAGGGGCATTCAACAGCTGCTCTGCTGTGCTGCTCGTTAGCTGCTCATTAAACACCTCCAAGGGAAAGTTTGAGGGGTTTGTTGATTAAGAAGCATTTATTGAGGTACACTAATGCAGTTATTGAGGTAAATTAATGTATTTATAGAGGTAAACAAATGTGTTTATTTAGGTAAATTAATGCACTTACTGAGGTAAAGACAGAGTTACAGCTCACCTACCAACATGGGCTTCTTAATGATGCAGTACAATACTATGAATGGAACCCTGGGTGACCCTGCATGTGTCACTTCAAAAGACAGATTAAGACAAGGAGTATATAATAAACAAGTAGTAACAAGTAGTTAATTGGATGTCATCCCATTACACCATTCGCTTATTTTATTAATGTATTTCTACCAGTTCTTTCTCTCCTTTTGTTCTTAAGTTGATTTGTTTTTAAAATGTTTTATTTAAAAAGAAAGACCATCATACTCATAGTTTTTAAAATATAGGACTACTGTTTTACATGGATGTTTTTTCTGTTTGCAAACCTCAGAAATAATAATATGGTGATGCATATTGTGCATCCTGAAAGCATCTTCAAATATCCCTACATTTAGGCACTTGAATTCATACAAATATAGCTCTGATAACTCGTGATTATAGCAGGTATGATTCCAGTGTGAGCTTTGATACTTGTGATTGGCCGGTCCGTGCTGGTCTGGACTCGTTACGATTTCTTTTTCCATCTGTTGTGCTGCTAAACCAGAAATATGAAATACTGAATAAAAAACTGTATAAAAATAGTGAGTAAGAAAAACATGGCTAACCGCTAACAGGCTAATATTCTCACACAGAGCACCACCACAACACACGTCTGATTCTGTCTGTCACTCCAGCTCCGGTCTCTCTCTCTGTCTCTCTCTCTCGGCTGCCCTCAGAGTCTTTATCCTCTAAACAGGTGTTTTTAAGCATCAGTTAGCTGAAACCGAGTCCGTACTGCAGTGGGACACCGTACACTTGCGTTAGCTTAGCCTAGCAGGCTACAGCTTAAAGCACTACAGAACAGGCTTTTTATCACTCCAACACCGACCAGGCGACTTTTCTCTCGCTGAAATGTGTTAATATCATCTGTACTTGTGACAGCAGCGCAGCTAGTCTAATCGAACCTGTACTGGGGTGTTTGAATCTCTTTAGCTAAGCTAGCTAGGAGAGAGAAGCTGGCTAGCTTTAGCTCGGCATGGAAGCTACAGCTCCAAACAGCAGAGAACAGGCTTAATGTTTTAATGTCGGCTTTCTGTCCCTCCAACACCAGCTGCTCAATTTGCTTCGTCAGATTTGAGTGATTATCATCTATTTAAAATCGTGCACTGCTTTCATTTGTTTATGAACCTACACTGTAACTCACTGAACCTAGAGCAACATCTCCCTCTTTACAGGGTGAAGATGGTCGAGATGGATTTGGCATATCTGGTCCTAAAGGACGAAGGGTACGTTTTATCCGTGTCTAATGGTTCCACTTCGTTTGCTACATACACAATGTACAGACAAGCATTAAGTATCTCTAATGCTGATAATACAAAATGTATTTAGAATTTATGTATTGTATACATGAGATGATTCCTTTGTGATGGTTGAGACACTAAAAATAACTGTCCATGCAGGGTGATGAAGGTTTCCCAGGATATCCTGGTCCAAAGGTAAGATCAAGTCCTGTCAATAACTTTACACCAATCAGCCACTTCATGAAGTACTAACTTGTATTTACACACACTGTCCACTTTATCAGCTCTACTGACCGTATAGTTTCACTCTGTAGTTCTACAGTTACAGACTGTAGTCCATCTGTTTCTCTGCATACTTTGTTACCCTGTTCTTCAGTGGTCAGGACACTCACAGGACCCCCATTGAGCAGGTATTATTTGGGTGGGTGGTCATTCTCAGCACTGCAGTAACACTGACGTGGTGGTGGTGTGTTAGTGTGTGTTGTGCTGGTGCGAGTGGATCAGACACAGCATTGTTGCTGGAGTTTTTAAACACTGTGTCCACTCACTGTCCACTCTATTAGACACTCCTACCTTGTCAGCCCACCTTGTAGATGTAAAGTCAGAGACGATAGCTCATCTGCTGCTGCACAGTTTGTGTTGGTCATCCTCTAGTCCTTCATCAGTGGTCACAGGATGCTGCCCACAGGATGCTGTTGGCTGGATATTTTTGGTTCTTAGTCCAGCAGCAACACTGAGGTGTTTAAAATTGTGTCTGGTCCACCATCCAATATGCCACCACCACTAATGGTCAGGGGATTTGCTAAAATGGACAAAGTGCAGAAACAGAGGGTGGATTTAAAGAAGTGGCTGATCCATGTATGTCTGGTACTCTTTATTTATTGATGCATTTCTCAAAAATGTAAAACAAACGTAGGAGATTCTAAACTGCAGTGTTTTCTCTGTGTTTATTTAGGGAGCTGCTGGTGAGTCTGGAACCAAGGGAGCACCTGGACCTAAAGGAAACAGTGGACAGAGAGTGAGCTCCACATTTTCTGTTTATTTTATATAATATCCATGTTAAATGCTTTGTTGCTTATAGTATGATTATGTAATATCTTTTATAGGGCGTTGCAGGTGGTATTGGTGAGCCTGGACAGAAGGGAGAGGTTGGCCATCCTGGACCTTATGTAAGCATGACCCTTTCTCGGTTTGATTGTTAGTAAACTTCCAATGCAACTTATTCAGAAATTTCAGAATTTCTGAAATTCTTTGATGAATAATCAAACCCAATGTGCATGGCACTGCCACTTCAGGATGAGAAATATCAAAACGTGATTTAGAACGTCGAGTCCAGGCTCTCTGTCCAGAGTAATCCAAAATGCAAACGTCTTGTAGAATGCAACTCTAATTAGTTAGACTGGATGAGTCCAGTTTAATTTGTCAGTACTTTCCTTCTGTGATCTGTCTGGTTGAGGCTTCAGGACAGGTTATAACAACAACTGGAAACAAACTGGAAAATGCATTTGACCATCTATATCAGTTCAGCGTGAATTCTCCATGTCTAAAGTGATGAAGCAGTAGCCGGCTAACCTTACAATTACAAATGCAACTGAGATCTCTAAACACACAGGCTTGGTCTGCTGGATACTTCAAGAAACAATTATTTGTTGCTAAAAAAATGGTAACACTTTAAGGGTGTCTACATATCACGTATATAACATCTTACACAAACACTTCATAACATGTTAATGATTGTTTAAATCAATTTATAAAGTATACATGTTTCACATGACATTAGTATGGACTACTTTGTCATTTACACTTTTTAAAATAATAATCCTAATTTTTTATGTTGAAAAAGTACATAATTATTAGTAAAATGCCTAATTTCTGAACATCCAAAATAAAAATGAGTTTCTTCTCACTTTATTCCTTTGGTCATTAAGTGCTTTGACGCTCAGGCTTGTTTCATCTATACTTTCTCTTCTGTTACTGTTTTTTAAATAATTTATTTTTTTCAAGCATTCGTTGTTTTGCATGTCACTTTACTATATGGACAGTAAGTTACTCATAAATATGGTTAGGAACAATCATTCGACTGAATCTTAGTGTGGTGGTAGGAAGGAATTTTACAGGCGCATAACACTCATCCATTCCCTGTAGATGCTGGACTGCCACATGAATGTAAGTAGACGACTTTGCTTTACAGTTTAAAGATCCACATAAAATGTGTTTCAGTCTGGTTGACCTCCATTACTTTTAAGGTAAAGACAAAACAGCATTTATTAATCCTTGGGATAACAGAGCAACATTTAGCCTCAAAGAGTGACAGTTAATCAATGCACAATCATATTTTTTCAGTACCGTAAGCGAGGAAGAACATCACTGAAAATAAAATAAAACAGTGCTAGCATTGAACCCTCAGGGGGTTAAACAGGATAAATAGCACCAAATACAAATTTAAAAGAAGTTTAAAGTATAGGCAAAATGTGCCAAAGTGTCAAAGCACTTTATGACCAAAGGGGTAAAGAGAGGTCATTTTCATTTTGGCTGTCCAGAAATGAGGCGTATTACTGAACATAATATAGATTTTCAAAATAAAAATTGAGAACTTATGTTTTGAAAAATGTATCTCAGTAAAGTGACATATTAATATCATGTAAAACATGTATACTTTATACATGTTGATTTAATCGTTCATTAACATGTTATGGAGTATTTATGTAAGATGTTATGAAAGTGTTATGTAGACACCCTTCAAGTAAAGTGTTACCAAAAGTCTGATGTTTTTCGTCCAGCCTAATAGATGTATGAAGAATATTTACTTTTTCAGTATGTGTGTGTGTTTCAGTCAGAACAGACTTCTTTTCATGTAGTCACTGAATTTGATAAATGATCCATTTATGACACTGGTTTAAAAACATTATAACATTGTAAATAGATTTTTATTTTGTTTTTATTCTGTAACTTATATAATATTTTGTATTAAGGATTGTTCTTCAGTCTCATCCAGTCATTGCACTACCGTAATCAGATGGTCCTTATTATAGTCTGCAGTGGAATCAGTTTAAAAACAGCATGTGATGCCATAATTGTACTACTTTAATAGATGCAGTAAACTGGAGATGCTTTTAATACACACTACATGATTTACTAATTTACAGCAGCTTCTAAACTGTGTTTATAAATTGGTGACAGATATGGATTTGGGAGCTAAAGCATTGTGGGGTAAGCTGTGTGCAGTTTTCTGTCCAGCTGTGTCCAGCTGTTGGAATATAATACTTTTGTGCTTCGGTTCACACAGGGCCAGAAAGGACCTAGAGGACCAGGCGTGGTGGTGAGGGCATTTTCGTGCCACACTGTGGGCTTTGTCTTTTTCATTAATTTTTGTGGGAAAAGAAATGCTATGCTAACCATCCACGTCCTGTTTTTCTTTAGCCCTCAACACAGTGTGACCTGGTCAAGAAAATCAGGGATAACTGTCGTAAGTATGATGTTACAGTGTGAAGAAGTGTGTAGAAGCTTTCATGTGCTGGAATTTATGGAATATTTCTGTATTACGTTCACTGTTCACATAATAATGATAATAATATAGAACGCAGTCAGAAATTAGTGCATTATTAGTTTTTCATTATTGATATCTGATAAAAGTAAATCTGACTGATTATGCATTAACTTTTACCATCGTTTCTCTTGTAGCTTGCTGTTATGGTAAGTGATCTGTTCTATGATTAACCCATTACATCAGCTTTTTATAGCTAATTTAAAGATGTTTGAACCATGTCAGTAACATCTTTGCTTGTTGTCCGCTCCAGGTGCTCAGGAGTGCCCTCTCTATCCCACTGAGCTGGCCTTTGCCCTGGATGCGTCTAGCGGTGTATCGCGAGGTGCTTTCAACAATATGAGGGACACTGTGCTTCGCCTGGTGCGAAACATCACCATCACAGAGAGCAACTGTCCACGAGGAGCTCGAGTGGCCCTGACGCTCTACAACAGCGAGGTGACCACTGAGATACGCTTTGCGGACGCCTTGAAGAAACGTGCGCTGGTGGAACGTGTAGAAGGCCTGCAGTCCCTGCAGACCAATAAGCAGCGCAGCCTGGAGACAGCCATGAACTTCTTGGCACAAAACACCTTCAAGAGGGTGCGCAGTGGCTTCCTGGTGCGAAAGGTGGCTGTGTTCTTTGTGAATGGCGCTGTTAGGCCTGGGGCAGAGTTCAGCGCTGCTGCATTGCGCCTCTATGATGCTGGAATTGCGTCTGTCTTCCTCGTAGCCCGCGAGGATCGTGCACTCATTAGAGCTCTGCAGGTAAGAAGCAGCTGAACAGTTTTTCACAGCCTCTGCTAAATATTTACTAGGGCTCTACTGATATTGCAGTGTGGGTGACAGTTTCTTCTGATTGGTCCTTTTTAGATTAAATAAACACTCAACAGACCCTCAGTAACACCAACAACATTTCAATGATGTAGCCGCAGTGAATACATTCAGTAGATTATCAAGAGTCTTTTAATTAACTGAGTAATAAAATTTGTGAATAATCTGCTGAATCAGCTGCTTTTTACTTTATTTTGTGTCCAAGTTCAGATCTGTAGATGTTTAATCTGAGAGAAACTGAACATGTAACAGGTTTAATACCAGACCATCAACATCCTCAACAAGCTGTTATAGATACACTGACACCATCCTGTACCTGGAGCTTCACTGGATTAAGGTTTGGTGAAGGTAAGGGTTAGGATTAGGGCCAAGGTGAGGGTTAGGATTAGGTTGTGGTTTAGGTTGGGTAAGGTTAGGTTTTGCTTAATGGAAGTACCATATAAAAACTATATTAAAGGTACATCTACTAAATGTAAGTGACGCATCAACAGTACATCTTCAAGATATTTACTTCAGTGTATTCAGATGCTGCACTACTGCTTTACCTCACTGATATGTTGCTGATGTGTTACTGATACTTTATTAAGAGTTTATTAATCTACAAAGGACCACTCCAAACAGTGTTACTGGAACGTGTCAATTACAGTATAAAGCAAGCTGCTTATAAATACTGTTGTTAAATCGGCAGCATTTTTGCAGATATGCTATCAGTGTAACCTTGTCAGATTTCTTTGGGTCTTCATACTTACCTCATAACATAATAACCTCTGTTTCGTCAACCAAGGACTCAAACAAGATTATTATTAAAATATGTGGACATAATTACTGGTTCTAAAAGATACTGATCATTAATTAGTGGCCAGCACTCTGCCCAACATATCTACCTATCAGTCTAACCTTTTATCTGTTTCAGCTCAATAACACTGCTCTGGCCCAAGTTCTGGTCTTACCCCCTTCTGCAAGCAGCGAGTACAACTCAGTTATCACGAAGATAATGAACTGCCACGTCTGCCTAGGTAGGAGCACATAGTTTTGTGCACTGTCTACTGGAACAAGATCCAGTTTCCTTCATTAATCTATGTCACCATGAGTAGAGAAACCAAGAGATTGTCACACAGACTGCCTCCAAACCAGTTTTTGTGATTTTGTTTTCCCCAGACTTCTGCGCTCCTGACCAGATATGCGACTATGAGCCACCTATAAGCAGGGGCAGAAGGGCCTCCACCACTGACCTGGACATTGACATGGCCTTCGTCCTTGACAGCTCTGAGAGCACTTGGCCCAATGTCTTCACAGACATGAAGCAGTATATCTCTCAAGTGGTGGATAACATGGAGATCTCAGCAGAGCCGGCTGCGACCTCACATCAGGCTAGAGTCGCTTTAGTCCAGCACGCGCCATATGAGTACCTGCACAACAGTAGTGGCATTCCCATCAGCGTCGCGTTTGGCTTGACTGACCACAAGTCGGCAAAGGACATCCGAAACTTCCTCATGGACAAGGTGTACCAGCTGGAAGGTGGCCGTGCTCTGGCAGCTGCCCTGGAGAGCACGGTGGAGCATGTGTTTGAGAAGGCGCCATTTCCACGCCACTTGAAGGTGCTGATGCTGCTGGTGACTGGGCCAGTGGAAGAGCATGAGGAGAGGCTGGTGAAGGCTGCCATTGAGGCTAAATGCAAAGGTTACTTCATTGTGGTGATAAGAATCGGCAAGCAGATCAGTGCCAGAGATGCCCGGGTTCTGGCCCAAGTGGCTAGTGAGCCTTCAGATGTGTTCTACAAGAACGCAGATGGACCTGCAGGCTTCTACGACAGCCATCTTCAGATCTTTGCCCAGCTACTCCCAAAGTACCTCAGCAGTAAGTGGTGTACAACATGTCTCTTTGTAGTCCCAGGGAAAATGGGCAAAAACTGAAAAAATCAAGATATGATAAAAAAGATCTTCTGTATCTGAGAACTGTGTTCAATCATCTGTATTATATAAGCTTTACCCAAGATTGGGAATTTATACTGAAAGGGGAAATTCTGGTGAAGCACATGCAGACATGATAGAGTTATGCAATATCATGCACATTGTTTCTCACAGATTTAAGCTCCCTGGGACTTAAAAAACATTGTTTCACATGGATTCATTGGTAATCACATAATTTGAATGCACATCATGATTTTGCACTGACTGTGCGCCTCTTACTGCAGTGGAGAATGCCTTCTACATGTCCCCTAACGTCTCAAAGAACTGCCAGTGGTATCAGAGCGACCAACCAGGAAAATTCCCCTTCAGATCACCACATTTACACGAGTAAGCTTTCGGATATTGGTGTATATAATATCTATATTCATGAATTTCCCACATTTCACATCAACATTTTGAACTTTTAGTCTCTAACCACCTCCAGTCAGCCTGCAACTGTTTTACTTGATTTTAGTTAACTTTTAAATTGATTTTCTGTGTGTTTTAGTTATTGTTTCTTGTTCATTATTCTATTTTTATTGATTTTAATATTGCTAGTGTTTCACATCTTTAATTTCTTTTTTTATTTAATTAATTATTTTTATTTATCCTTATTTTACCTTATTTATTTGACTATATTGGTGTAATTTTACTGGTTTATTTATTTAATTTGATACATTTATTACTATGATTATTATTAATTTTTTAGCATTTGAGGTGTTTTTTCTATTTAACCTCTCAATCAGTATCTTAATCTGTATATATGACTCAGCTACATTGTAAATGAGGGTTTCCCTCAACGTACTCCGAGTTTAAATAAAGGTTGATTGATTGATTGATTGATTGATTGATTATATTGTTGTTTCAATCAGCTTTTTTAAGCACAGATATCAACCCTTTTCTGTTCTGTTTTATTCTAGGAAGAGCCACAAACAGCATCAACAGCAGGAGGTTCATGAACAAAAACATAAAGGTACGGCAACAAATTTAAAAAATTGATCTTCCATATGATCTTTCATGTAATACACTGTCCAAACATATCTGGACACCCCTTCTAATTAGTGAATTCAGCTGCCTTAAATGGACCCATTGGACAAATTTAGCTGTATGATCTCCATAGGAAAGCACTGATAGAACGGGACTCTCTGGAGAGCCTTTCATGAGCCTGAGGCTGCCATGTCCAAAGCCAAGCGTTGGCTAAAGGGGTATTAAACCTCCCCAGCATCGAAATTTGAAGCAGAAGAATTGCAAGTGGCTCCAATGACTGAAAAATATTGTTTGTTTGTGTGTGTGTGTTTGTTTGTGTGTGTGTATCCAGAACTAAACACAGAAGACCTGCACCTGGTCAACGTCACCTCCACAGGCTTCACTTTGTCCTGGGTCAGTGATGATCCAAAGGCCACCCATGAGGTCACTGTGACTCACCTGCGAGACCATAGAGGGGTGCTGCGACTGAACACAACAGACCACCAGTTCACTGTCCATCAGTTGGAAGCTGCCCAAACCTATCACGTAGTTGTCAACAGCCGCAACCTTGAAGGACAAGTTACCAGGACCTACAAAGGCATCGTTACCACAAGTAAGATCAACATCAGACACTGAGGTGTTCATAGTTCACATTGCTTACAGAGTAAATGTGCAGCCTGGAAATACAAAATAAAGCCACTGTTAAAGTTTACCTTTTGTACAGGATAATGAGGAAGAAACATCAGTTTCTATATTGGTCCAATCTGAAATGACAATTGTATATTTTTTGAAATATCAAGTGAGACAACAGTGAAAAAGACTAGCTCATGAGTTACGTTCATGTTGATTTTAATCTGAAATATTCATCTATTCAAACAGAAGCAGCAGAGCTCAAATACGTTCCTGGGAGTGAAGTGACAGGTGTGGTGTCGACTGCACCACTAAGTAAACCAGAAATTGGTAAGTAGTTCATTTCAAAATCAAACTCTACAAACTCAGATCTTTTGGTCAGTCACCCAGCCGGGCAGGATGTGTTAGGACTGCGTGTTAGGACTGCGAAACATCCCAAACATTTTTGGCTTTAGCTGTACGGCTACAAGCATGGCCGTTTTTCTTAAAGCAGAAAATGTGTGGAAACCTCAGAGTTGGCAAAAATATAATGTTTTCACAAAACACACCAGCAAAACAGCCAGGCAGCATGTGGACCTAACAGAGGGTGAAATACAACAGATTTTTTATGTAGTTAAACAGCTTGAAGTAGCACGTGATTTTGGATCTTCTTGTATTACCATGCAAATGTTCACAGGAACTGGATATTAGTTTTGTGCAAGTTTTCCGTTTGCTGAGTGACAGAATTCACAACTATATATTTTTATAACTACCATTTTTAAGCATAAAGCCAACTCACAGTGACAGTTAATTAGGGTTACAGCTAAGCTGCCCAAAGTAAACAATAAGAGCAGCAGTTTCCCCCATATAAATTCAAAATAGTTCATTTTTTGGACCTTTTTACTATCGATATAATGCAAATAAAACATATTGATATTTGTGTTTCATCATGTATTTAGGCTGGAAAGCTCATCTGGTTAAAACAAAGTTTACTTTGTAGGTGAGATATGCTGGTTGCATATTTATAAAAAATCTTGCACAAACATTTGTAAAATTACGTATAAAATGTGCTGATATTTAAAAAGGCTATAAAAAGTAAGCAGAATGATATTTTATTCAACATTTCATTACTGTGCATCACTAAAACTAGATAACAGGCCAGTTATGCTCTCATGGACTTGCTGCATCGGTGGGATCTGAACTAGTGAAACCTTTGTCAGCTCGTTAGACAACTTAGGTCCACTTGGGAGCGCTATGTAAAATATTTTTTTAATCAAACATGCAGTTGGCCAGTGTTCTTTAATTTTAATTGTAGTACTGATCATATTCATGATATCCTCAGCAAGGCAGAACTTATTGTGATAACATTTTATTTTTTAGATCATTTTATAATGTCAAATCGTCAGCGCTATGTTGCTACATCTGAATCTGTCGCAGATTTTTTGTTCTCTTTAACCGTTTTAAAGTGTCCCTATAGATGTTTTTGTTGAGCACTGCCAGATGTTTTTTGGCTGCATTTAATATTTCTTTTTAATCTTAGTGAGTTATTTATTTATTGAGCTTTCTTTGTGTAGAACATGCTGACCTACTTTTGTTATTTATTAATTCTTTGGAAGTAGCTAATGGCCAAAAACCTCCCTACCAAATTCACTCTTAGCCTTTATTCACTCACTCAACGTTCAAAAGACAGCTCAGAAAAAACTATGTTGTATATTTTGAGCCAGTTGGGTCAAGAAATGCTAAAGTAGTGAATGATCCGCCATGATTAAACTCCATTTCGTTTTATGTTTAATATGGTCAGTTTAGTAACACACAACAGGAGTGATTCAAATTTCTATACAATTTATAACTTTTTAATTTAATCAATGAGTTTATTTCATATTAAACTCCAAGAGGTGAAACTCCAGTAAATATTTTGACTTTCCCAACGCAAGATATGGACCTCTACCCCTCTGAAAATGAACAGCTGTGTTCCCCCTTGTGTGTTAAAGGCTTTCCAGGGCCTTGATATGTCAGGCATTCCAGAGCAGTGATATCATTGCGTGCAACCAACCACAGAGTACCTTTCACTGACTTTTCTTTTGACCTACAGCAGATTTTTCATTCAGCATTAGCCAGAGAAACAATGCTAACATATCTAATATCACTAATATGTCATAGCGCCTGAAAAAGAGTTATTCTGCATAGACTGCATGCTTTATGAGCACTGATAACCACAAACCAATTAGCCTGATTAGTTTCTGATGGTGGGAATGATGCATGTTGTACTTGTTAGTTTGTTTTTGGGCAACAAACTAACACTTTGGCATTTCTGTAAAGGGTATCACTCTTTTGTTATTGTTGCTTTACTTTTGTGGCCTGAATTCAGAAGCGCTGAAAGCCAATACACTCGTCTTATATTAGTTTAACAGGCAGGTCCAGCTGTTCCAGTTTATGTCTCGACATCACTTTATTAAGGGTCCAAGCATGTATTGCTGGAGCCCTGCTGTAATTTTAATTGTGTCTTAATAGCTATTGTTTCCATGTGTTTCTTAACAAGTTCATGTTTTAATTTTTTAAATTTATATGCACAGACATGAACATTTTGGGACAGGATTCAAACAGTGGGTAACAGTTCAGTCAAAATATTTATAAAAAAACATTCTAGCAGTGACAGATGAGAATCTTCTCACTCAGTAATCCTCACTGATTGAACATTTTTTGCAATAGCTAAAGTGGCAGCAGAAGACGTCGACTGAACGGCACCCATTGTTTGAATGTGGTTTAATATAACTGTGCTTGTAGATTAGCACCAGAAACATGCTAATATTTACTCATTTTCATTTAAATTTACTAGTTTGCATCACTAACTCTCTCGCCTTTCACCACCTTCTCTTTTTTCTTTGCATGTTCTGGCAAATGACATTGCAGACCCATGCTCACATGACTTTGACAGCGGACTGCCATGCAAAGACTATGAGGCTAAGTGGTACTTTGACAAAAAGAACGGATTCTGTACCCAGTTCTGGTACGGAGGTTGTGGAGGCAATGAAAATAGGTTTGAGACCGAGGCACAGTGCCTCAGACGCTGCAAGAATACAGGTAGGTGGGTTTTTTGCCCCACTGTCTCAGGTACACTCTCAAATAAAGGTAATAAACTGTCAATATACCCCTCTTGTCACTGAGATGGAACCCTTGAGGGTCCATCTCAGTACCTTTAGTCACGGAACATCACTGAACCATAATCCACTGAAATGATATGTTCTAAGCTGTACTGACTCCACACACCCCGTCTCGTCTCCAGGCTTTTATTTTACTGTTCTGTTTAAAACATTCGGTTATGAAAAGGTACAAATACGAACTTTTCACCTGGAAACACTTATTTAAGGTTCACAATCAGACCTTAAAACCCACTGTTGGAGCTTTGAGGGAACATTTACACTGTTTGTACCTTGATGAATGAAAAATGGATCTGAACAGAACCTTTATTACTAACAGTGTGTGTTAATTTCTGGGTCAGTAGAGGGCGCAGTCCAAAAATGTATATTAGAACATTAGAATATTTTCCCTTTTTACCTGAACTCATATTTTGTCAAGAAATTTGAAGGTCACAGTGTGGAAAGGTGGGAACAGCTGGTACAATGGAGTCACGCTCTCTGGAGTGATGGAGCACATCTGAATACCTTTGGGATGAGTTTTATTTTTTTGTGATCCAGAGATATTTAACATCAGTACCTGACCTCATTAATGCTTTGTGGCTGAATACAATCAAACCAGCCATACTCATACATCTAGTGTAGAGCCTTCCCAGAAGAGTAGAGGCTGTTACTGCAGCACAAACTCACTCATTAACACCTTCATTTCAGAAGGAAACATGATTAAGCATGTGTCACAAACCTTTGGTCATATCTATTTATATCAGGGAAGAACAGTCCTGGAGTTGTAGTTGTTCACAGTCTCGAGAAAGACACTGTCATGTAATACAGTCACTAGTGCCAGGGTGAGTTAATTGGGATGATGGTGGGGTTGAGCAGAGGGTGGAGGGGCGCCTTGTTGAGGATATGGAGAATCTGCGGGAAAGAGCTGTTGGTAGTCTGGTAGAACTGGCGCGAAAATGTCTATCAGAAATGTTTCTTGGTTAAAAGAGACAGATTTGCCCCTGAATATAAAGCACTAATGCACGACTGTTGGAACAAAACCTTGCATCTCCATTTTTGTTGTTTTTCAGTTTTTGGCATATTTTGAAAAAGCCTGTTGTCCTTTACATTGTCTGTAAATTTCATGATGAATGGACCAAAAGAAATGACCCAAAATTACATGGAAAAAATTCTGGTTCCATTGACTTACATTAAAAGTATGAGTATGTTTTTTCCTTCTCCTGTAAAGTTACCATTTTGGAGATACAAGGTTTTGTCCCGACAACTGTGAAATACACCTGTTTGCTTTATGTTATTGCATTTTAAATAAGGATGGCACAAAAGCTTAACATGACTTTAATCAGAAATACACTAACTTTAGTAATTACTTCAGTATGTACAGTTCAGGCATTCAGTCAGGGGCAGTATTTTATCATGATCGTGATACATGATGTAACGATTCTCTTTTCTGAGCATATCGTGGATATCGATAGTACTTAAAGAACTTACTAACCACGTTTTATTACGAAGTGAGCATAATTAGGCCTGTTTAACTGCATTTAGTGTGGCACAGTGAATAAAAATCATTGTAGTTGTATGTTCATTATTATTAGTATTATAGTATTTCTTTCTTTGTGGCACTACAGGTTCTATTTAGTCTGTTCCAAATTGTTAAATCTCAGAAACACTATATATCGCAATACCTATTGTGTATTGTGAAAATGTTTTATGCTATTATATTTTTGGCATACCGCCCACCCCTACATTCTGTGTTTTTAGCTGTTTTTAGTTGATGTCCTGGGTTATCCTGACATTTGGTACACTGGATAGAGAATGGAAACTTTTCCAGGCAGCCCCAGCATCCCCTCCTTTAAAGGCCACTTAATAAATCTTTACTTGTTTCTCTCCTGCTGACTCAGAGAGTACAGAGCTGACAGATAAGTGGGTGAACTGCACAAGTTTAAAGAGTTCCTGCTGGATCATAAAGCTCAAAGGAGCCAAAGCACTTAGCAGAGACACGAAGCCTCCACATCAGTAGAGCTCAGTGTATTTACTATGATGTTTATAATGTTTTTGTTTTGAATCACACAGATACTTGACATTGTTTTTTCTGACACCCACAGTTTTGGAGCCGCAGCCACTGCAGAGTGACAAGGTCAAATTAGAGGTCCATTCTGCTCCAGGTACGTCTGCCAGGGAAAACATGCTGTAGCAGTCAATACTGAGAAATTTTCCCAGGAAACTGTCCACACATCACAGCTTTTTTCAGGCTTGGTGTCCATTTTAGGCAATTTTGTGGACAGTTGCCATTGGACCATTTGTTTATGCAACGGCCTTAAGTGAAACGTTTGATTTGGACTGTTAGGATGAACTGGAATTGGTCTAAGAAGCTAAAGACTAAAAGACAGGAAATCATTTTGAAAAGTTCATTCTTAGGAATTTTTTTTTTGAAGATTTATAGAAATCCTGCACACTTGGCTGAATTTTCACAAGACCTAGAGCTCCAAAATGTACACTTTCAGAATTTTCCAACATTCTGACTGTATGTCCAAAAGTGTCCAAACGAACCTTCTAATTGTTTCTAAAGCGATATTTAAAAATTGTGTATTGGTGAAGACGCTGAGGGAAACTGATGTGGATGTAGAGCCTAAAACATCACATATGAGTTTTTTGGATCTCTCTGGTCATATTTTAGTCATAAAGAGTTGGAGAGCCGTCCTTCTGGAAGTGTCTATAAAGGTCTCTCATTGCATAACTAAATTTCCAAACAATAAGCCGTCTGTGCTGCAGCTCAGGCCAGTTAGCTCCCTTAGTTACATTTGGAAAAAGTGGAAGACCCTAATTGGAAACAAATCCCTTTTTGGGTCAAAGAATAGATCTGAATTTTTTCACCTTTGTTGTTATAGGAAAGAATTCTATAATAGAACCCAAAAAGGTTCTTCTGTTGTTACAAGCTTGACATCATAACAATAAAAGCTTCAAAAAGTTTTTATATAGCAAACTATACAACACATTCTCCATCAGTCTGAAGAACCATTTCATAATGCAGAGAACTCTTTAATCATGCAAAGGGTTCATGGTTCTGTATATTTACTAAACTTTACCCTGTAGAACCATTTATTTACCCTGAAGAACCATCATTTTTAAGAGTGTATGACTGTTTCACTGTTTAAAAGTGTTACTGCACTTTTAAAATTTACAATTATCAAATTCAGTTATTCAATAATACAGTATAGCCTGTTGTTTTATTACTTATTGCTTGATTTTAATAAAACCTGATAGTTCAGATTATAAAAACTGACTGAGCCCTAATTGAAGCCACATTTAATTCTTTAATTAAATTATTTAAATGACATCATTGTTTATTATTTTTTAAGTTGAATAAAAGTCTTATTGCGCTGATGGGCAGCTGAGTGATTTCTCCATAGTTAAAGGGAGTTATTAAAGAATATACCTGAATTTTGAATCTTTTTTTTAACCTTGTTCATACTTTTGCTGTCCATTTTAAATCTATTTTAAGTCTTGCTCTCAGCTAAATGCTAATGGTCTGTATGTCTTGAAGGTTTTGGGCTTTTTTGCGTGATTGTTTTTTGTGCAGGTTCCTCATTAATACACTGTCCTCTCTCCTCAGGAGTGGACATATGTAAGCTGCCCAAACAGGAAGGCGCCTGCGCCAAGTTTGTACTGAAATGGTTCTACGACTCCATCAGTAACAGCTGCACTCGCTTCTGGTACGGAGGCTGCGGCGGCAACCAGAACCGCTTTGAAACACAGGAGGAGTGTGAGAAGGCGTGTGGAAAAGGTGAGACACAGAACACAGAGTATACCTGTAACTGCTGAGTAGAGGACTTTGCATGGCTTTCATTGGTTTTTAAAGACTTAGTAAGTGAAAATCATTATTTTGACCTAATGAGTCACAGTTTCAACCAGAATCAGAGATGGAGACGTTCTTCTCTCTTACCTGTCGGAAACAGGCTTCCATACAAAAAGCTTTTTAGAGCTGCGGTCGCTGTCCTGTCCTGCTTAGTGGCACAAAAAATCTAAGAAACTGGGAGAATTTATACGACTCTAATCAAGAACTTCAGTTTCCAGTTAAATTATGTGATGTTGTTTAGTTGTGTAGTTGTTTACATTGTCTTTGTGTGTAATCCTAAAATGTATGATACCGTGCTGCCTCCCCCCCTTACCTCTCCCCACCCTTGTTGTGTGAAAAATGCAATAAAAAGTTAATCACAAAAAAGAAATTAGAAATTGGTGAAAAAGGTCAGTTTATAGGGTTCTACAGAGTTCTACTGGGGAAGCTCTCCAAAGGAGTCACAGGAATTAACCAAAAATAACAGTTATTATTTCTGCAGTTTTAAAGCAGTTATTATACGATATCAGCTCATAATATAGTATAATATTTTATTATATTGCCATGCAGATTTAAAGTTTGATATGCTTTGCTTTTTCAGCAGCACATGTTAAACAAGCACCTGTCATTGCTGCAATGAGAACATAGAACTACACTGATGAAGATTCAAGATTCACCTCTGCTCAGAGGAAAAAAGCACCAAAAGCCAAGATGCCTGCACTGGATTCTGCCAAAGGAAAACCTTTGAAATCATACTTTTCCACAAAAGGAGAAAAAGGCAAATAGGTTGCTGCATGATATTTTCATACTGGTGCTACATAGAGTTTTTGTTTTTGTTTCCCAGAGTATTTTCCAGTGTCTAAAAAGTAAAATCCCAGGACAAAAGAGATTTTTTTATGTTGTTGTTGTTTTTTTTGTTGCAGTTTTATAGAAAAAGTCATGTACGAAATGTGATGAAATCTTATCAGTAAATCAGTTTTGTTATAGAGCAGGATGTTCAGCCTAGCTTTCAGTCCATATAGTGAATTTAACTCCAGATGCCCTTAATACGCTTCCACTGCTTGTTTACAAGAATCCTGTCTTTTTCTTTTTTTTCCTCGCTTGCTTGCTCTGGTCACATTGCTGGGACCGCACTCATACTCGTAAAAGATCAAGATGTTTCTCATTTAAAGAATCCACACTGATGTTTACAAATCTAACTGAATCTGGCAGAGTTAAAACTCTAAATTACCATAACTGTCATCTCCTCTGCCAGTGAAGATCAGTCACCCTTTAAAAGAATATGCGCTTCTGGAACCTCCGGCTGAAAATGCAGATGTGCTGATAAATAATGGAAACACTTTATTCAGAGAGTTCATCATAGACGCTCTGTAACTGTGTCTTAAGTTCATTTTTACTTTTCTTTAATCCTAAATCTTAAACCTAAACTCTAAACCACTTCTAATCTCAAACCTAATGCTGTTGAGAACCAGCTCCAGGTTTATTCACCAGGTATTTATATGTGAGCAGCAGATATTAATAATTTGAGCCTCGGTAAATGATGTATTATGGACTTTGTAGCTGAACATGTGGGTGTTTTTTCAACATTGTGTTTTCATTAGGCAATGGAAAGACGAATAAATTGGTCTTTATATTAACCTCTGGCTTACGGTGTCTTTTGCTTTCTGACCATTAAGCGTAATGGAATAACTGGTTCATCGCTCCACCTCCCCCTTCTGGTTTCGTGACTGCAGGGTCCAAGAAAGCTGTGCGCCAGTTTACCTCAGAGTGGATGGGAGTGATTTTTGCCGTTACAATTTTGCCGTTATTTCCTGGTGTGTTTGAGAACTGTGGAACAAATGTGTTATACGGTTTGTGTTGAGCTGGACCGCTGAGGACCAGAGCCATGACTCATCTTGAGTGGAATGTCCTTTTATGGCTCTGGAGATCACTGGTCTAAAAAACAGCCAGGCAGATGGGCTTTACAAGCAGGACAAAGCCATAAAGAAGAAATACTTTATTTGGCACAATTTTGTGGTTTGGGGTTTTAATGCTGCTCATCCTCGACTCTAACATAACTGTGTTTCCACAACTGCAGAATTTTGCAGACTTTGAAAATCTGAATAAATATTAACCAAATTTGGTCAGGCTGTGGTTGCAGCGAGGGTGGGCGGGGCGGTTTGGGTGGGAGGTTGTTTTGCAGCCGAGCCAAGCCCACAACCTACATTTCCTCCCTCCTCTACACGATCCCACGCTTTGCTCTGCACATGAAATAAAACCAGCACAAAACGAGTAGGAGGTTGAGGAGGGTCCAAGCACAAATCTGCAGACGCCATGGCAACAGAGGTCAATAAACATCAGGAGACATTCTGTATGGACTCTGAGGGGCCTCAGAGACATTTATCAGGAATGGAAAAACACACGTTGATGGAGCAGCGAATGGGGACACATTTCCTATCGTAACAAACACCAAATGTATGATATTTTCTCAACAATAAAGTTAATGCACTGAAATATTTCTCAAGTTTTTGGTACAGCAAACTTTACGGCAGATATCAGACGCAGATCAGGCCTCATCTTTCATTATGCACTGCAATATTATACTCTGTTTGCATTTTGGAAGTATGTAAAAATACATTTCATTTTCTTAGAGTCCCCTGTTCCATAGTTATCAGCCTGAGATGACAGAAAGCAGAGCATTAAATTTACAGTTTTCTCCATCTGATTAAACAGCATCAGTTGTTTTATAGTCACTGATGTGACCCAAAACATTAGCAAACAAAGCTATAAGTATAAACCTTTTTATGTAAACATAATTAAGAATTCTTGGTGACAAATATTTCCTCTGTAAATGTGAAATCAGTCATTAAGGCTCTTCAGGATAAAAGGACTCAGCTCAACTAAGCAAAACAGATTAGTTTCACATGGAGAGCTAATTACATTTCTCCACCTCAGTCAGAGGTGGTGCCACACCTACAAAAGTGGTAAGAAAATAAATAAATAAAACCCAAAAACAGGCTGGCTGAATGATAAAATGCTACCAGGACACTGACTGAGTAACTAAAATTACCTTTCAAGTCATGCTAATAACACGTCTCTATAAACCTGTTCATGAGAGTTTTTGTGATATTGTATCTTTTTCTTTTGATTTGGTTGGTTTCAAACAGCTAAAGTGGACCAAATTACTGATGGAGGAGTCTGTTTGTTGAAATTGTCCAGGGATGCAATCAGTCTGTTACTCTCACATTTACCACCATGAAAATATAAAAATATAAATAGAACATCTAAAGTAGAGACGCTTAACGTCTGTGTGTCACAAAACAAAGCAATAATAATAAACTTTTCTTGATATCTGTTTCTTTATGATTGGTTTTCCAATTTGAATCAGGGCATTGATGCTTGGCCAAAAGTATGTTCTGTGATCCAATTAAAAGCATCTTTGCTATTTTTTTATTTCTCCTTTGTTATCATTATGACAGTCTATGAAGAGTAAAATGTTAAACAGGCAGATTCTACAGACAGTCCAGCGCTGAGAAAACCAGTCTCTGGTGCTGGATTCTCTCGTTTGGTGTGGTCCATCGTAATGACGAGTTCCCACCAGCAGAGACCTCGGGCAGGGGTCGCCGGCCCACCGTTCAGTTCTTTGGTGCGGACCTGAAGCCAGGTGGAGTTCACATGTCAAAACAGACCGAACTAAAGGAAAAGTTTGACAGGTTTGCACCAAACACTGTAGGTGTCACAGCAACCTTGGTGTAGCAGTAAGACGCATTTAAACTGATATTCAGTAAATTTAAGTTGTGACCCAGTCGTTAGTTTCAGTGAGCTGCAGCTCCTCTCACTGAACACAAACTCATTAAGGTTTTACTGTTTGGATTCTGATTGGTTCTGCTAATGAGTTTGACTCTCACATCACAGAAAAATATATTCAAATTCAAATATACTAAACAATGTACATGTTAACATTAATTAGGGGTCCTGGACCCCACAGGGATAATCACATGGACGCTCTCAAAATTTAAATTCTGAGGGGTCCCTGAAAATAGCCTGATTATGAAGTTGTGCTCTTCATTAGGGTAAAATACACATTCAAATCCAGGAAAATGTCATAATTTATCCAATTTCACAATTGGAGAGATTCATATTAAATATGCAGCACTGCTCTGCCTCAGGGTGGCGCTGTAGCAGACTGGTTCACCCAGTTGGTCCTTCATAGTCTAGAAACTGTAACTCTGCCCGGATTCCTCTGAAAAACTTTACAATGAGCTGCAGCAGATCTGTAAATCTGAAAACTCGCCCAGTTTCCCAAGAGTTTGGAGTGAAGAGTGACTGTTCCTCATTTCTCACACTGAAGACAGAAGAGGAGACGAGGAAGATCTCAGTTACTGTGAGGAAGAGCGCAGAACCGCACTAGAACAGAGACTCTACAGAAGAGGAGACGAGGAAGATCTCAGTTACTGTGAGGAAGAGCGCAGAACCGCACTAGAACAGAGACTCTACAGAAGAACAGCTGATAAAACAAACATTTACTGACACTGAAGCATCAGCGCCGCTATGGAGAGAGAGTTAGCAGACAGAGAACATGGGACCCCTAAATACCAGGGGGGGTTTCACACACTGCTTTGAACGCTAACTTACTATTAGGCAAACTGTGCCTAATAGGTAACAGGTACAAGCTAGAACACACAAGCAACAGCTTTAGATTCAAAAAAGAGCTGCTGTGCTTCTTATTCTATAATGACAAAATAAAAAGAAATTGTAAAAGAACTGACTGATTACCTTAATAACTCACTGTCAGCTCTTTGCCGACTCACAAACATGACTGTTATTTCAGGGAAAATTCAACAGAAGAACAAGAAACAGTCAAGGGACTTTTCTCTTATGATGACTCTCTTATTTAATGAAATTTGTGAGTATTGTGTTCCTGCTAACTGCATCCTCAGACAGGACGTTGAGTGAAAAGGGAGGTTTTCCAAAAGCTTAGTTAAGAATATTTTATTAAAAATAAACTCAAGTTAAAGTGGAACTGATTACTGGGGAAAATGTGTTTAAGTAAGAAGAGACTGTAATTGTTTACTTTCCATCTCTGCTGATGAAGTTTGTCCAGATGCCTCTGAGACATTACTCGGCCCAGATGGCTCTGCTCTGTCTGTCTACTTCTATAGGAACCGAACACAAATGGTTCTAATGTTCAGTCAAAGCTCTACTGAAGTCATACTATAAACAGTGCTTGTCCAGTGTTCGGAGAGGTCGTGTTATTCCAGCTCCCAGGTTGTTTTGCTGGGCCTTTAATAAAAACGTGGAGTAATATCCATTAACACCAGGACCAGAGAGCGTACCATGCTGGCTCCACCGAGTCAGAGTTTCCTCTGAGAAGAGTGAATTTACCGCAGGCCAAAGTCAACCGTCACATTCACGCCACCCAGAAAAACTTCCCTCGGTACACACATGGGCTCTGAGCCTACTGACTCTCTGCCTTAATAACTCACTGTCGGCTCTTTGCTGACTCACAGACACTGGCGCTGACTTTTATTTCAGGGAAAATTAAACAGAAGAACGGAATACAGTTGAGGGACTCTTATTATGACTCTCTTACGATTTGTATGAAATTTGTGTGTATTGTGTTCACTGGAGCTCTGTGATTAATAATTATTTAGTGAAAATGTAGGTAAGTTTTTAAAAGTTAATCCAGAAATAACTCAACAACCGAAAA